GATTTATTTCCTGATTCAAAATTAATATTTATATAAACGCCACTATGTACAGTATATGCATGTGTACTTTATGTAAGTTATATAGGTTTCTATAACTTTATATAAGTGTGTTTATACTTTCACATGTGAAGAGCTTAATATTTTTATTTGAAAATGACTTGTAAGTGAAACACCACCAGGAGTTGCTTACAACTTTACATGTTGCCCTTTCCCGAGACAAACTGTGCAAATTGTGTAGTTACAAAACCATAATTTTAAGTTACTTAACAAATGATATTTAAACAGAATAAAAACAAAATGCACTTACAATAGTAACTACATTACAGAAAATTATTTTTTCATGTTTTAAGGGGAAGAATGATGTTCAATTATTTTAATGAATAAATATATTTAAAAAACAAGTAAAACACAACTTTTAAACAAAGAATTGTTAGTTGTTTTTATTCAATATAAGCTCCCTGTTCCAGCACCACCATCCACTGGAAATCTGTTAAAGAAGAGAGGTCATGCAGAACTAAAAGTACTTGAGTTAAAAAAAAACTACTCCTGGGTCCAATATTATTCCTAATGAAGCTATGTATATTCAACTGAAACTTCTACACTGAGAATAGCCTAGGTACCCATGAGCAATGTGAAGGTGAGCACTGATGAAACATATGCTATTAAAGCCTTTCCACATATATATTTCTCACTTGCTCACTTGACAATGGAATTAGGGTCTGAAGAAACAGTGAATTCAGTCAGGAGACTGGAGAAGCAGACAAGGTGTAAAGAAGGTGGAACAGTGGTAGTTTGAGACTGCTTAGGCACAATGTGTCACTTGGACCTAAGCTACAAGCTATATTGGGACCCTGTTTTTAACATGTTAAAAATGTATTAAGGTTCCAGTTTTCAAAACATGTTAATTGAAACAAATTGTATCATTATAAGGTAAATCAGTCCACATTATTACATAAAAGTATTCCTCAGTAGAAGTATTAAAAATATGACAGGAAGAATATTTGTAATTACTTACAATATACTATATGAGATCTCTGATGTTACTGTCAAAGTAGCATAACAGATGTGTATTACTTTAAATGAATTTGTAAAAGTAAGAAATTAACAATTATTCTATTAATGTAATATGTACCATCACCTGAGGTTCTATATACAATAATGTTAACAAAGCAATAATTCATAAAGTTAATGGTTCATTTTGATCCTCACTTAACCTTCTCACTGCTGAATATCTATTGATGTTTAAGATTCTGTAGAACCTGAACTGATACAAAAAAGTAATAATTATCTACATAATCTTAATTTTATAATAATAATTAATAATTGCTTACACTTATATAGCTCTTTTCTGGACACTCCACTCAAAGCACTTTACAGGTAACAGGGACTCTCCTCTACCACCACCAATGTGCAGCCCCACCTGGATGATGCGATGGCAGCCATAGTGCACCAGAACGCTCACCACATATCAGCTAGCAGGGGAGGAGAGCAGAGTACTGAAGCCAATTCATAGATTATTTGGAAGCCATGATTGGTAAGGGCCAATTTGAAATTTGGCCAGGACGCCAGGGTTACACCCCTACTCTTTTCGAGAAATGCCCTGGGATTTTTAATGACCACAGAGAATCAGGACCTCGGTTTTACGTCTCATCCGAAGGACTGCGCCTTTTTACAGTATAGTGTCCCCGTCACTATGCTGGGGCATTAGGACCAACATAGACCTCAGGGCCCCGCTGGCCCCACTAACACCTCTTTCAGCAGCAATCTTAGTTTTTCCCAGGACGTCTCCATCCAGGTACTGACCAGGCTCACACCTGCTTAGCTTCAGTGGGTTGCCAGTTGTGAGTTGCATAGTGATATGGCTGCTGGCTATTATATGTATATGTACTGTATGTATAAATATACACGTATGTTTATATTAACATACAATAATTTAATCTAAAATGTACCCAAAAACTCTAATATCTTTTTTAACTTTTGTTCAGGACTGGAGAAAAATATGATTTGAATACAAAGTTGTAAACAGAAAAGTCCTGGCTGAAAAGTAGAAATAAAAACAACCTGAAGAAATCTCAACAGTCAAAACACTGTTTCTTCTACCCTTCAATGTGGAATTAACCGTTACTTGTTCTTTTGCAGTCAACACACACTCACCTAGATACCCATTCAAACCTATAGCACACTGTACTAAGAGGCCAAATCTCACTCAGTCTCATGTTATTTATAAAATATGATACATCTGTGTTTAGGCTTTTTAAAGGAAATCTACACCTTCACATTAAAAGAAAACCTGCTGCATGCACTGCAATAGGATATCTAGTAACCCGGCAAGGTTATATTGTATTTATCAGTTATTGTAAGAAACATACTGTACCTTCAGAATTGGCATGAGAATTATCCACTTTGTTTCCTGATCAGTTTTCCAGTTTATGCTTGTATAGTGTTTCTCCTCTTCTGGTCTCAAACTACAGGCTTCGATTTTACAGGAGTCTGGGTAGTTTCCTGTGTGAGAATATGTGAGCATTATACTGTATTACCTTGTCTTTGTTTTTAATGCTTATATATACTTTGTTGGAAGGATGGAAGAGAGACTTAAAAAGGTACATCGTGATTAATGTTTCCAGACTATTAAAAATGCATTTAACCGGTCTACAGTCATGTGAAATAACACTTATTAAATTACATGTAACAAAATCCAAAGACTAGGACGTACTCTTCAGTATACAATATATACAATAATAATTATACCTATTGCCCACTGATACCACATCATACATATTCAATAGGCATGAAAATGTGAAGCAAAATTGAAAAAAAATCGATTTTATGAGTTCATGGTAAAAAAATATATGTAAAATGTTTTACCATTCTGTAGTGATGGAAGTCTGGTTAAATTCATAAAATGTGAGCAATCAACCAATGAGCTGATGCAGAAAGCTTACTATCATTACACTGGTAGCACTGACAGTTTTAATACATTTTATGCCAGTGAAGAGTTCCTGTGTGATTGTGTTTCTGAACAATATAATTTGTTAGCAGCAGGTAATTATTCTTTTCATTTTCATCACATTAATTTACCTTTAAAATGATTGGTGTCGATCTCAATGTATCTTATGACACCAGGGTGGCCGAGTCTAAACACTGCCCATTCACTGCCAGGCACTTGTAATATACCATGTTGATCAACCTAAAAATGGCGTAAAAAGAAATTCCGTCAAGCAGGAAAACTCACCTAGTATAAGTTTAGGTCAAGATTTTGTATTACACTATATGTCAAAGTATATGTGAAGGACTGTTTTGTATATGCAAAGTTATTCCCACCTTCCTCACATTTTACTTTGTTGCTATAAAGAATAGGAAAGTATGGATAAAAGACAACCTTATTGTCCTTTTCAGGACTTAATATTGGGACTCTACAAAGTCTTCACCTTTAGACAGATGGGCAAAAAAAAAGCCCTTGGCAAACAGATAGGCATGTTACGGTGTTCACTTAGTGTACTGACATCCAAACTGGCATTCCCATTATGAATTAAATAGTTTCAAAATGTCCAGAAATACCTCTGTGAATACATATGTGCAGATCAGACTACAAAAAGTCTTTGCTTCTGTGTACCTTCAAAACACCTGGGCGATCCAATCTCCTGGCAGTCTCCCAGCCGTCCCCCATATTTATAGCCCTTCCTAAACCTAAAGTTTAAGAAATAATGTAAATCCTTATATTTATAAAACAACAAAATAACTCAGGTGATAGGAAGTGATAGGAAAATACAGAAGCCTGATTATAAAGAACGGGAATAGTGAAGATTTAAAAAAAATAGTTTATTATTATTTCTTACGGTATTCTTTTACTTCTGTGCTGAAATGAAGTAATTAAGTTTTAATATTTGTCATTCATGAACCATCTTTGAATTTCAACATAATGACTTCTTTCCTTGATAAATACATATATTCTTTGCCCATGTTAAATGATGATTCCAATTTGGTTTTCTACACAGAAGAAATTAATACAGTTTGCTGGCCTTCTCGTGGCCAAACTTTTCTGTGGACTTCACTGAAAACTCAGATACTCGAATTGCCGGGGGGGGGGGGAGTTTTGAAAAAGAAATTGAATTGATCATTTGTTCACCTAAAGGTATTATATTATGTTGGGATATATTTTAAATGTGAAGACCAGTTTTTCCAAGAAGGATCTCACTCAGTCAAATGACTTTCACTACAATACCATCAGACTCCTGACCAGCTGGAAAACACAAGGGAGTACTGGTACATTTTACTTTCAAAAGTGTTACCAGTATGTTATGGAAAACTCCTACAAATGTTTTAGGAAACACTGAAATTGAAATAATGGCTTACCTATCATATTTCGTGGGTGACCAAAGTGAGCATTGCTGTAACCCACACACACACCTCCATTGACAAGCGCAACCAGATCCACTTGATCGTTTGTTGATACTTCAGACCAGTCTGTCTGTCCTATGCCATATACTTTTAGACGTGCAATTCCTCCATCTGAGAAAAGACCACAGATTAGAAAGAGAAGCTAAAAGTTTAGATTAAAAAACTTTAAAAGTGTTTCACGTGGCAGACACTGTGCTGTGTGGTATAAAACAGAATTTATTTTTCTGACTGTTATTTTCTTCACTCTCATGCCTCTATGTAATGAGTTAAACCAGTGATATTCACTCATGGTCCTGGAGGGCCTCAGTCCATCAGGATTTACAAGTAACTCATAAAGTGCAGAAAGTGGAAACAGGGTTAATGCAGTATATAGACCAACGAAGTAAAGAATTGGTTTAAATAAAGTCATTACTATAGTGCAATAAAAACCAGAGAACATGGCAATGAAGAGTTATTACCAGAGCCCTAAACCAAACCCTGGACTTGACAAGGAGATCTGTCAAAAGAATCTAAATCACATTTGGGTCACTGCCCTACTTTTATAGGTTTCAATAATGCATGTTTTTTACCACCCTTTAGCAAATGATTTTGCGTAATATCACAATGGATGTTCATAGATTAAACATCTGTTTTAAGAAAAGATTAGACCTTCCAGCAGAGCTAGTGCATATGACTGTGGTATTACCTGGATACATGTTAAGTCTAATATGAGTGAACCTTTGGTGGGAGCTGACAGGAAAGTAATTATGACAAGTGTCAGTGTAGCCAGGCTTCAGCTCTGAAATTGGAACCAGCATCACCCAGGACTCGGACTGTAGCTACAAAATTAAAAAAAAAAACACATTTTTGTTCATCCTCCTGTAAAGTTGGAAGATCAATTTCAGTACACAAAACTCCTTTCGGACATTAAGTTTATGTCTAGTCTTTCCAAACAAAATATATCTCTGACCACAAATAATAAACTTCACTGTGGATTACATTTCTAAGGAATCTAAAATATAAACCAAAATGTTCCTTAGTGAAGTCGCAGTACAGCATAATAAACTATTATGCAATGCACCTTTAAAGGCCTTAACACTGTCAAACCCTATTTTAATCTTATAGCCACACTATGTGAGACAAATATTTAAAAAAAAAGAAAAATAGGAATAGTGTATACTGTATATTGGAAAGAATTTTGTAATTCCCTTCTCCTTTGTAATTGCTGTGTAAATAATTACATTTTAGATTGTGGATACCATTATGGATGATGACTAACAAAGTATACAGCAAGGTACAGGGATGCAGGGAGTCAAAGCACAGTCCAGCGAATGTTAGAGTTGGGTTAAATTGTAACAAGAATGACTATTTTCAGAGAACACTGAAGGAGACACACACAAGGTGTATCTCCCACACTGCCCCATATTGCAACAGTGTTACAAACATTTTATAGTCTGTGTCCAGCTATGGTCACCCGAAGTCATTACATTAATGGGGATTTTTGAGTGATCTTTCTCCTTATGAAATTATCTCATGCATAAGCCTGACGCTTAACCTTATCTGAATACTTATACATTTAATCAGAATTAAGAGAAAGCATTTAAGATATTTTTGTTATATGCTGTCACAACACATATTGATTTTACAGTCACTATGTTACTATTTTATAATTGACCCCATGCATTATGTCTCAGGACTATTGTACCGCAAAAGATATTAATTCCTGTCAATATGTGAAACATTTAGTGAAATTTGCTAAAGCTGTGTGTAAATACTTAGATTTCCACAGTGAGAAAAGGCGCTCTACAATGTATCAAAGAAAAAAGCAACATTCAGATTATGCAAAGCATAACTTCCAGGGTTCCAAAGTTTCCTTTACAAGCAAATTTTCTCATGTATGGAACGGTTCCCGAATGATCCTTATGAAGGCCTTAAGAGTTATTAGGATTTCACATTTATGTCATTAATTTAATTTGCTTGTCTTTTTGAAGATTAAGGTATTAGTTCAATCTTGTCAGAGTTTATGGTTCTCACTGCTCTCGGTTTAATGAGGAGAGAAGTTTAATGTTTAAACCATTTCTTCTCCTGTGTTTCAATGTAATATTTCAGTGTGTGTTCATGGTGAATCCACATCAAAAGAAAGCTTACCTACAGTACTAAGTAGTCATGACCTTGTAAGATCCAGAATGGTACAAAGTACATAAAAATGCTGAAATATTTTTACCTTAGCAATAGTTTGAAACTCTTCATTTGAAGCAGCCATTCCTGTCCGGTCTCCCTGAGGTACAATTTCTGGAACTGTATCTAATAAAGCAAATGAAATCCAGATCTACAGTTTACAACTGTCTTAAATTTCACCTGATCATTTTTAATGGCACATAAACATAAGACCACAGAAATGGAAAAAATTACACTTTTTCATAATTTTGATATACACTATGTATTTATAGGTGATTTCATAACTGAATTAATAAATAAAATTAATAAAATAAGCTAAAGAGAATGTCTGATTCTCCTAGAGGATTTGACAAGGTGTAAGAATTGCTACTCCTACTACCTTGACTCAGGCATGCTGCCTGAATGGAGATTGAAGGTGCATAGTTTCCTGTAAAATAAGATGTGTCGACATCAAATCCATTAATTACTCCAGGTACGCCCAGCTGGACTATGCACCAATCATGACCTGTGTAGAGAAAAAAAAACAGAAACAAATTAGAATTTTTTTTATACTAACATGTATTAGTATAATCACAAATAATGGCTGTGCTACATGATGTACTTTAAATACAGAATAACTAGTGTGCTAAATACAAAATGTGTCCTCTAATCTTTCACACAAGCACTCATACCTTCAGGTATGTTAGAAGCTCAGAGCAACAGTCAAGGACACAGCAGTATTTTCAACAAATTAGCCATATCAGTGTATTATAGTGCAGTACAATGCATTAAGGCCTAAACAAGTAAAGTATCCGAGGATGGAAGAAAAATTTATTGCTGGCATTAAACTTATGTAACTGACCTGGCTTAACATTTCAATAGTGATCTCTAAAAAGGCAACCAGATTCCTTCAATCCTACAGAAAGGGCGTGGAAGAAACAAGATTTGTATTTGTCCAAGAAGTATTTGAAGAGGGTAGAAATACATACTGTATTATTAAAGTGATATCTTTATTTTATTGAAAAATGTATTACATTTAAACTTTATATTTGTTAAATTATTAATTTCTGTAAACTGCTTTTATTTTTGCTTTAATTAACTGATTACACTGTTTCCTACTGACTAAAAGGTGTTCTTGAGAACAACAGGAGGTCAAATTCTGATGTCACACTTTCATTTCTCCTCGTATAAAAACTCACTAGTTGAATAAAGCATCCTGGCCAAACACTGTGACACTGCACATCCTTTTTCAGTGCACAGTATTCAGCTTTGTCATTGACGGACATATCTCACATTCGGCTTTTCCTGTACCAGAGCCACTTTCGCCTCTCCAGCCTCAAAGCCCTACCTAGAGCAGGCGGCTCTGCTCCCACTATATCATCCGTATTTTTCTTTCAGGTCTCCTGATGCCAGCAAGCCTCCCAGAAACTGAGCAACTAAGGCAGCCGTCTCTGTAGTGGTTTTATCCTTCTCTCTCTCTTCCTAATCTTTCTCTCTCTGCTCACCTCCCTCTCCCCCTCTTTGTATTTCTGGTGGAATGTCCAGCCACCACACCTACAGCCTCAGCCTACATAATTGTTTTGTCTCTCCCCTCTCCCTAATCCTACTTTTGACTGTCCACTGCAGGAGCCCCATGTTGCTGACTCCCACTCAACTGCATGAGATTGCACAGAGGCAGTCTGCACTGGATCCAGGCCTCCTTATTTACCCCCACACTGTCCCAAGCTGGGCCTAGGCAGCTACAGAAATAGGTTCCAATTTCCATTTACCCTTCCTTTCAGCTGGAGTCCAACTACGAGCTCTCAGCATTAGGCTCTTCCCTCTCCCCCAAGAATCCAGCTGCATATGTGCCATATTTTCCGTTTCTGTTTTGGGTTTCAGCCTGAAATTGACATGCCCATCCTCCCAATCTTGCTGGTACCCCAAGCATCTGTCTCCAGACAACCATCAATTCAGCCTGTTTGCCCATCAGTTACTATAGTAACAAGATCGGGATGGAGGTCTATACCACCGGTGCACAATTAAATAATTACTTACGTTGATCATCAGCAGATATTTACAGTATAGCCTAATCCTCTCTGGGCATCAGATTTTGACATGTTCCCCAAACCAACAGGTTTGAATGGTAAACAATCAAGACCATTGATCAAAGCTCTTACAATTAAATGAGATTCAATAATGCTTGGTTACAACTTCTGATCTGACTGACTCAGTTTTGGAATACAATTACCATGCGCTGCACAGCGCTACCCAGGCCCCAGAGTGTTTCTGAAACAAAAATTCAGATAGGACCAAAAAAATACTCGTCCTAAACCTGACTTGGGCACCAAAATCCAGCACTGAACTCAAAAATTGTCCAAATAGTGTGTGAACACTAACCCTAACCCTAGTGCTGGGGTGTCCACTGAGCACTTCCGTGATCTATATCCGAATCCTCTCTGGGCATCAGATTTTGACATGCTCCCCAAACCAAAAGGTTTGAGTGGGAAACAATCAAGACCATTGATCAAAGCTCTTGCAATCAAATGAGATTCAATAATGCTTGGTTAAAAATTTGATCTGAATGACTCCGTTTTGGGATACAATTACCCTGTGCTGCACCGCGCCACCCAGACCCCAGAGAGTTCCAGAAAAAGAAAATTCACATGGGACCTAAACCTGACTTGGGCCCCAAAATACAGCGCCGAACTTAAAAAATGTCTAAGTAGTGTGTGAATGCTAACCCTAGCCCTAACTGGGGTGTCAACTGAGAATTTGTCTTCACAATGCCTAGATTTATCCTGCGTTTTGTTATTCACTGGTTTTTACTTGCCTTTTACTTTCCTGTGTTTGACACCACTTACCTGACCATGCTTTTGGGCTGCCTTTTGTGTTTTTTATGCTTTTACTCTGTGAATCACCGGCTCTGGCCCTCACCTGATTGACTACACTCAGACTGTGTTTTACTTTCATTTTTCATCTGTCTGAGTACTGCCTGCTTCATTGCTTCACCCACAACCCGTCTCATGGCTATTGCACTTTATCAGGTAAATGCTACTCTTCCAGGTGTCCAGCATCTTCCACTAACCAGAGTTCCAACCCAAACTTGCCGGTCCTACAGCTGCTGCCCACTGATGTCAACTTGCGTCATCATTCTAAGCATACTTGCTTCTCAAGAACTACATCTGAATCCACCAGCATCATATATGTTTTTGTTCTTTATACGACATTCTGCTCAGTTCCGGCGAAATCGCAGCCAAATCAACAAGCTTTTAGCTCAGTGTTAGAAATTTGCATTGGTGTTTTGGGTGGATGTGACAGCACTGATCTTGAGATAAGAGTCGTTGTCCTCAGACAGACAAGTTAAAGCCAAAATACTAAGCATACTATCTCTTTATTTAGTTCAGGTAGGTATCTGCGTCAGCATGTGTAGGCTGCAAAGGAACGTTGTGTTTTTCCTTCTCGTTTCAGCATAGAATAAACCTTTATTTATTCCTTTGCATCTCTTTATTTGTCAGAATTTAACCAAACACCTGAAATGGTCTTTTTGAATAGAAGTTTGTGTAGAGATCAAATTCTGAGGTTTCACTTCTGCTTCCCCATCCATAAAAAACTGAATTCCACACCACCATGCATTGTCCTCTCTTCTCCCACCCCAAAATCACCACTGCAGCAGTTCTCCCTGGCTCATTCCTCTTAAATGTGAGCGGGGTGTGATGGCACCCACCCAGTTGATCTTCACCAACTGTGCTCATGTCCTCAGCCGTGTAAGTTAAAGCCAAAGTACTAAGCACACTATACCTTTATTCATCAGCTCTTTTTGTCATTATTAGAATTTGACCGAATGGCTGAACTAAAGATAATGCCCTGGGACAGACCATTAACGACTAGATTTCTGTCTCTGTTTCCAGAATGAATATAAAATTACAAATTAATAATAAGATCTGAGTGATATTGATGAGCCACAGCCTATTACAGAGCTTTCATGTCATCAGTAACTGTCTTAGTACCAGGGATTCTTTTCCTTCTGGTCTCCCATCCATCCATCCATTTGCCATATTCTGTGAATGCATCCACCTTGAACTCCACCTGCTGTCTCTGCAACAAATTTAAAAAAAAAATGTATGAACCAAGTCCTTTTCGAATTGGGCCTAGATCACATCAAAACCTCAGCCCACCGGCACCAGCCAGCTGCAAATGGCACTCATTCTGTATTTTACAGCGACCTCTCACATTTACACAACAGAAAACCTCAATCAAGCTGTTCTGTTTTCACAACAGAACAACCTCCTTAGGTATGAAGTTGGGAGTTGAATCATAATCTCAGCTATAGTGCAGAGCTCCTTAGAGTTCTCTGGTTTAATGAGTACTCAGTTTATTGAAGCATAGTTACCATATGCTCAATTATCTTATCATTTGCAACTCCTCACAACGGTTGGTCATTTCCTTACCACTAAATATTTTAAATCTGCAAACTTTTGAGGCCTAAACATATTTGAGAAGGTGTAATTAATAAAAAAACAGATAGCGTAATTAAGAACAGAATTAATTAACGGGACCCAAGTCAGAATGAAAACCAGAAGATGCCACAATCTTAATGTTTGAAGCCAATGATTGTAGAAACAAAGACGTTAAGTAAATGTATGTATACATCACAGAATACCAGTATTGGTCTTACAAATACAGTTTTTTATGGCAATTCAAAATAACTTTACTGTAGATACAGACTTTATGGATATTTCCCAAATCACATGGTATTTTTTACTTCTAATTTCCACAAAACTAACACATTTAAGAGAAGCAGTGTATTGTATACCTTTAGTAGGTTTTGTGCAGGAGCAAACCATTCGTCGGTAGCAAAAATGACCTGAGAAAAAATAACAACATTATCATAGACTGTTATGAGAATAGTACAGACTAAAATCTTGAAATAAAACTATAGCAATGCATCAAAAATGACTTCATTAGGAAGCTCTCTTATTTGTGTAACATATTAATTCTTTGATCATCTCCCAGGTAAAAGCTTAACAATAAATTAGTTCCATTCACAGGGGCAGGGTTTATCCTGGTTTCTGTGGTGTACAAAACAGCAAGTGATTCCCGCATAGGACACAGTCTATTGTTTACAAGGCTGGGTGGACTGGAGTGACTGGGGTAAAGTTCCTCGCACAAAGTCCTACAGCAGGGTCCACAGCAGAAAACAGAATCCACAATAGTTAGGAATCCAGAGTTATCCACTTACAGTAACTATGCAACCCCAAACTTACCTTACACAAACAACAAACTGGAAAGACAGAGCAATATGAATAAAAATTCACCACACCACATTTTTGTACAAGATGGTTGATGAGTTTTGTGAAGTTGGAACCCAACAAACAGCACAAGAAATCAAACCCACCACATCCGTCAATCTGATGAGACATAAAACCAAGGTCCTGACTCTCTATGGTCATTAAACATTCCAGGGCATTTCTCAAAAAGAGTAGGGGTTAACCAGTCTCCTGGCCAAATTTCCCCCTTGCCTTCACTAATCATGGCCTCCTAATAATCCCGAACTCTGGAGTAGCTTCATCACAGTGTTTTCCTCCCCACCAATAGCTTATGTGTGGTGAGCGTACTGGCGCACTATGGCTGCTGTCACCTTATCCAGGAGGGGCTACACATTGGTGGTGGAGGGGAGTCCCTATTACCTGTAAAGGACTTTGAGTGGAGTGTCCAGTAAAAATGCTATATAAGGGTAAAGAATTATTATTATCTTTTCCATTTGAATGACAGCCGACTGTGTATGTTTTGTGCGTTTGTGTGAAAAGTAAAATTACAAATCTGTCTCCAATATCTTAATCTAACCACAAGAGTTTAAAGTTGTTCACTTTAAAAAGGGAACATAAAAAAACAATTGCATTTTCTTAAAAAAAAACTAACATGTCATAATGATTTGAACAGTGTCTATATTTTTACAAAAAGTGAAGGCCGTTCAAAAGCTGTTTAAAGTTCCAACCTGTCTTTCCTGCTAGACCAGTTATACAAATATATAAGTTATACTTGGAAAAGTACCAAGATATTGGATTATATGTTAGTTAGAAATACTGTTTACTGAGTTGACCGTTAATTAAGCAAAACGAAAAAAAATATTTTTGTTTACAAACGAAACACATTTCGAAGAGAATATCTTCAATATTGTATTACGTTTGGAATGTTTTTACAATTATACAACCATCCAGTTCAGAGCTGTGGGGGCAGGCTTCGTGTAAAGGCAGAAGACATCCACGCAGACATAAACACGCAAACACTCCAGAGCCCAGAAGCCAATTAACCTACCAGCATGTGTTTGCACTATGGGAGGAATTGAAGAACCCAGCGAGAACATACAAACTAAGCGCAGACAGAGCGCCAGGAATTGAACCCCAGGACGGCTCTGTGAAGCTGTCGTCCTACAAACAGCACTAACAATGAAACCCGCTACATTTTTGTGCTCCGTTTGTGCCGTTTAAAAAGGCGTCTGTGCTGCTTTTGTTCCCGTGATATAGTGAGCTCTTGTTTTGGTGTGTGACTTTCAATCAACTCCCCGGCATAAACGGATGGTGTGGATTTTGGTTTGTGCTGATAGTACAGGGGGGCAACTTCATTGACCTGATATTTTATGGGATTTTTCACTTACCTTTCCTCCAGCGGATTCACAAGCCAGGTTATTTAAGTGCAGAAAGTCTGGTTGATCAGTGTTGTTCTTTAAAGTTGACCGAGTTGCCATTCTATCTGCTCATTAATCATTTATTTAAGACAACGCCGGCCACCTGAAATTAATGTAAGTCGAAATAATTTTTCACTTACTAAATGCCAGCATACCATTTTATCTTAGAACAGGACATAATATAGAGCAGACTGTCTAACGCGCAAATTATTATCTGACACTTCTATATGGACATTTATCTTAAATAAATGCAAATATAAACAGTAATTTATTCTGTAAATATAAAAAGTAATTAATTTTTAATAGTTACATTGTTTTTACAATAACCGTTCCAAGATCAAATTCGTATGATTCACTTTTTTTAGAATACTGACTTTAAAAGAAACTACCGCAAATGCAACCATATATATGACTAAGTTATATTTGGGAAATGATCCAACAGAAATAGTCGCGAAATATGACGAAAATTGTTTCAAGAAATATATGCACATAAATGCAGAAGGAAATATTCCAAGTTATGAATACATAATGGCATACATTGAGTTGCTATGTTTTAATTTCAAAAGGAATTACCTTTAAATCCTACCTGTTCAGCTGTGCATATAAATTACACCAGTTGGGCTATTCTTTTAAAGGAAAGCTTCTCCAGGTTGTGCAACCTCTGTATAAATATGTAGAACAAAGTTCGAAGTGAACTGTCAATGGGAGGGATTATCATTGGAGTGGGGAAAATAACTTGAGCTTGTAATTAACAGCCTGGTAGCCGAGTTATGATATTATCAAGTGCATTCCCTTTCATTGACCCATGGTCCTTTTAGATACAGTACATTTATACCTTCATTGCAGTACCTTTAGAATCTGGTTAAATTTGGTTCATGCTTCTAGTTACGGCAATGATGAAGATGATGTGACAAAAGTTACTTAGGAGTCCAAATACAGTTATTAATGATTGTTTTGGCAAGAAATATATTGTGCCTTCATAACCCAGATCCATACAGTTTAAGAAGATAAATTAGAAACATGTATCCCAGGCCACACTGAGTGGAAAATCCAGAAAACCTCACTGCAGTGACATCGAATCGCATAAAGGTTTTTCAGAAGCAAATCTCTAGGCATCCAATATTATGTGTCCCTCTCTGTTTTATATTTTAATGTTAGTGCTAACGATTATTTGGACTTCTGTACATCCACATTTTGCAAACATTGAACAATATTCACCGCCCTCCATTCAGCTACCTATTATGAATAACTTTTTGTCTTTTTTCTGACTTTAGGCTAAAAGAGAGGTTATTTCACTCTGTATAACTGGAAAAGTAGCATAGTGAACCATATTGGTAATCCTTGACAAACAATGTCACCTGTACTCAAATTATTTATTTGTTGTAACACCTGAGAGTGTATCAAGTTTAGGAATACATTTAGAAAAAATGAATCAGAACATAAGCTGAAAATTTAAATAGTCTACAAGATTTTGAAATACAATTACAATTCTGATACATTTGACTCTCAACATAGATTTAAGATTTTGGGGAAAAGCAAGGCATGCTTACATAGGAATACATAGTTGTTGTTTTTTTTGCTTTACTCAACAATTTATTATCCTACACAGTATGCAATTTTGTCCAATCCAAGTACAGCAATTCATCCTTTTTTTCCACCACTTGATCTCTCATGCTCGGTACACATTCCAAGTGTACAGGCTTCTCCTGCTGTAAATAATACACTTTGACTAGACAAAATGGGTCAATGCAAATAAGTCAGTCACTAACATGATTTTATTTTTTCATAAAAAGTAGAAAAGCAAACCCTGGACTTGAAGACATAATGTAAAACCCATTAACACTTAGTTTCTTTTATTTCTGGTCTTACACAACATTTTCTCGTACAACTTATCAAGCACAAATGATAAAGGTGGCAATTATGCAAAAATAATGTGCGCTACAGTCTGCAAATACGTTTCCACAACGTGTTTTCATAACATCGATTATATTCACTTGGAATAACAACACATAAGAATGAAGGGTACTGAAAGGATTCTGGAGTGTTTTAGTCAAAATTTGGTTGAACCCGCTTGACTGGTTCAGCCAAGGACGAGGCCAGAGGATGGGGAGGCTGGGATTGCCATGCAGAGTACGAGTGACCAAGGTGTGGAGATGAGCTGTGGGAGGGATTCAAAAAGACGAGTGCAATGGAGAGAAGGAGAATGTACTGTTAAGTATTTAAAATGTTTTAGGTGAGGAAATGATAGTGGCAAATTACCCACAGCTGAATTTGACTGAACTCACCTGTTGTCATTCCTCCCTAACGTTCATCATAAACTCCACGCAGTTTTCAGAAAACTCTGAAAGTGTTCAGGTAACATTCCCCAAAACTAAGATGGAGCTTTTAAGAAAGCTATGTTGAAACCATTTTTGATATTTCCATACTAAAAATCATTGGAATTTCTATGTTCATATAAATATGCTAGGGGGAGCAACAGTTAAATGGTTATTTTAAAAGATATCATTGCTAAAGCAAATTAAATTCTGATGTTCCTATACCTAACTGCCTCTCCTTACAAAAAGTAAAAAGTTTTCAGTGTTTTAATGTGCTGAAGAATACAGCTGTACTCCAATAAGTAAATAAGATGAATGTAAGAAGTGATGCAATAAAATAGTAATATTTGTTCAGCTAGGAATTATAAATACTGTTAATTTTCCTCTTCAGTTTTCAATTCAATCAAAAAGTGTCAAACACAGGTCTCAAATGATAGTTTCTTTTACTATCATTAAAAGAAACTATGTTATACATGTATAATACTTGTACTACCAATAACATGGCAGCTTGATTCTGATGAACCAGTAATGAGGGTTTATCAGATATACAGTATTGTTCACAAGTTCACTTAAGGCACATCAGAAACATATGGCTTTCCAATCAAAATGCCTTGTGTCACTTTATGTCATGTCCATACAATACACTGGTACACATGTCCTTTTACCAAACTGAGGAAGAACTGTACTGTAGCAAGTCTTTGAAATTTGAACATTTGAATGACAGAAACCGACGCAGATACTGCTACTCAATTTAGTTAGATTATGCACTGTCCTTGTCAAACTCGCAAACAAAATACATGGTGATGTGGCAGGCCACGTCATTCCAGCCTCCTGTGGCCACCATTTCTGCACAGTCTTCTTCATCATATGCGTTGTTGGGCTCCCCGCCACGCCACTTGTTAAAAGTGGTCATAGGCGATCTGTCCACATAGGCAAAGTGGCCCTCCCTGTCCAGGTCATTGATCCCAATGAAGACTCTGCTGAGACCTGCCTGGCTGATGTAAGAGGCAATGACCCCATTGGAGGCCTCATCCTTAGGCATGCTTAGATGTCCTCCCCTCCCCTGGCAGTAAGCCTCAGCCTCTGTGTAGCGCTTCTCCTCCTTCACCAACATGTAGATTTTATTTTCCGTCTCTTTCACACCAGTGACAGCTGCGGGGGAGGGCAGTGCTGGAAAGTGAGCACTTATATTTCTATAATCAAACTTTAATACTCTATTTTCGTGTTTCACATCAGAAAATATCATTTAAAAGCACTTTGTTTGAGAGGCAATGGCAGAAACAGTAGACACAGTAGCAATGCTAACCCCAACACTCCAGCTTTTGCTGTTTTTGTGAAACCTGGCAGGAAGATCTGACTGGAGGCTTTCTGTTTTCTTTCTCTCATCTCATAGATTGAGATAGTTCACAGTTTAATAATTTACAACACTGTAAATGAGGGCATCTACGGTATGTGAGAAACAGGCTGGATTTCCAATAATGAAAAAAAACTATTCTTTCTGCATCTTAAGAAAACTAGGACTAAACAAGAAATGCTAGAAGCTGTCTGTCTCAATAGCCTTTTAGCATTGATCGGGTACAGTAGTTCTGATTATTTCAAAATGTCTTTTTGCTTTTACAAATTCTACCTCAGCCTACCACGTGCTATATTAAGTTCATTTCATGGTGGGGATCAGCATCTTAATTTATGTTAAACTGTTTAGATCCTGAGTTTAATACCAAGTAACATTAATCATAATGTGTAAATCCATTCTTAATGTTTTTAAGAGCTTTTTTAGTTCATCTGCATTTTGTATCGGTGTCTGCCATTTCAGAATCTCATTAATGCAGCTATTTAACAGTTAATTCTTCCTTGTATTATTATTTTTTGGTTTATAGATAGCTGCTGTCAAACTTGGAGACTTACCATTTTTTATGAATTTTAGTTCGTTTGTTAAGTGGGATACAAGGATATCCATTTCACCAATCATTTTCCTTAATGGGGCACACTCACAGGGCAAACCTGTCAGTCAATTAAAAAGAAAATAACATTCAAGGCCACATGGGTAACAACACGTTGACATGGCACTGATGTCTGTGAAATGAAATATTAATTTATCTGTCCCAAGTGAAGCCCTTATACATCCAAAACTCTGGTCATCTGGCAAATCTCAGTGGGAGCCTCAGCTGGTAAATAGCTCAAACTACACATTCCCTGGACTGCTGTTTTATGGTGCAGAGAAATGAGACTCACTTCCAGAATACCAAAAAGATGTGTATGACTCTTTCAGGACAGAAGTATTCAACATTTTTACTAGAATGCAGTTTCAGATTCCAGATTGTTAACATTATTAATGGTTAATGCAATTAAATGAATATTTATAAGACATACCTGGTTCCCCGTTAGGCCCCTGTGGTCCACCATCTCCCATATCTCCCTTTTCACCTGGTGAAAATACATTGCATTTTATGTTACTTTTATGTCTATTTTTATTCACTGCGTTACACTTAAATCTTTGGCATCTTCCTTAGAAACACTGACGTGTAATTTGGACAGAGCTTGTTCCTGTAATATATTGTTCTTGATTATTTACATCATAAATAACCCAAAGTAAAAGAAGCTCAGTGTTTACCTTTAATTTAAATGATAATGATTATATTTTCTGGTTAGAACAGTTTGGCGGTCTGAAACATCATTATTTTCATTGATTTGACTATTTCAGAAAACGATTTACCTTTTGAGCCAATGGGACCTATTTTCCCATGGCGGCCCATTAAACCTTTTTGTCCCTTGACTCCCGGATTCCCTGTCGAAAAAATAATTCTGCAGGTTATTGGGGGAAAATATGAGCACAGTATTTTTGTTTTCTGTATATAAACTACACTGAAAAGCAAAGGAAATGTATAATTTATAACTGCAACAAATTTATAAAGCTAACAACATGAGAAAATCTTTCTTTGTAATAAGTGTAGAGTCATTATGTTGAACAGACATAATGTTTTTTAAATTCACTACAATTAACATTCATAGACAATGGGGTTGATCAACAGGGTGACTACCACGAAAGTCACAGGCTTGTTGTGTGTGGCTACTGTTAGAATCACAATAAACTGTACATCTTGTAACCCCAGCTGGCTCTCTTGAAGGATTTCGGCTCATTCTTCTCAGACAGCTTGAATAACCATGTGCTGGCTCACTGGTCTCTGAGCCACATACGCCACACATTGCCCCAGATCATCACATAAACTTTCAGTGGAGTATTCTCTGGCAAGAAGGGCGTGCATGCCATAACTATCACAATCTTATCTCACAAAAAAAGCACAAGGGCATGCATTGTCCTGTTTAAATTTTGTCACACCAGGATGTCCCCACAGGATGGGCTGCAAGTGAGGTCAGAGAAATTTATCAGTGTAATATGCTGCAGCCAGGTTGCCATCAATCACTACCAGTGGAAGTCTGTAGTGATTAACTATTCCTGCCCAGAATATTACACTTGTACCATGGACTTTGATGAAGTGTTGTGACCTGTCGTATCCCAGATCATGGTCTATCAGTGACCCAGTGTGTTTGACTGGTTAGAAATTGGTGTTCAGTGAACTCCCCAATCAGCAGGAAACAGGGTTTTTATAAAAAAAAATTATGCTAAAGAATGGTTCTCTTAATAAATAAGGCATATTAGCTCCTTTCCTTGTTTGATTTCCACCAGGTTTGACATTCTCACCAGTGAGGTAGTAATGTATTTATGCCTCAAAGTCACTCGAGAGTCCCATGGTCATGAATGATCAATTAGTCAAAATGACAACAAGAATGTTTGATAATTATGCATATATTATATTTTTCTAAAAAAATGAATAAATGGACTGATTTTGCTTTTCATGATCAGTATATATTTTTTACATTCTGAAGAACTGGTTTCTCCAAACCCTAACAATGCAAACTACTAGTAATCCAATAACAATTGTCACCATGAGGAAAGCCATCTCATAAAAATGTAATTCAAATTTCAAATAGTATCTAAAATGAAATGCTTCTTGGTGTCCTGCAATCACCCATCTAGTACAGTGAATAGTTATTGAGAGAAACTGGTGCAAAAACTAAAATTATGTTTCAAGTAAAACAAATCTAAGGTCTATCTAAGACTGACAATATCTGACAATATCTGACTGACAATATCAGTTATTGAGATTAATGAGAAATTCCTTCTCTACTGTATTTGAATTTATTTAATGCCTTGCCTCAGCATGTGTAGAATGTCTGTAGGATGATCTGAAAACTGTTACATAAAGGGTAGAACACAGAACTTTTCCACTAGGTGTCAGTATGCAATAAGGCATGATCATTCTAATTGAGTATTCGGGAAGGATACAGCTGCAACAGTGTTAAATTTATTGACTTATATGGCTAAGCGCTAAAAGTTTTAATGCAATCTCAAGGTTTCCATTATACCATTAAATGGTGATGCTGGAATGCATTTGATTACCTCATCTTAAATTGAGCAATATATCCATCCACAAACATTTCTACTAAGTGTTTATAGTACTTGGGGGCAAAAGCTCTCTGAACCTAAATATGAACTATGCCACCTGAAAACCAGTAAAAGGGTAAATAATCGAAAATCTATTTATATTTCCTTTTGTCAGGAGGATCGGATAACATTATAAAATATCAAGAGCAATCTTAAATCACTTCAGGTACTCAACAAATTGTTCAAGGAAAATGCATTTGGAAATTGCAGTGATTAATATATCTGTGAAATACTTAAGAGACACAATAACACTTATTAGTAAGAACATAAAAACAGGTACAGAGCAGAGGAAGTTGCTGTGGAGGAGAGGGAAGAATTTAGAGGCAGAGAGAGTAACAGGGTTTGTCCAACTACACCATCTCATTTGTGTTTCTTTGATTGGGGGCTTAAAAATAAAAAATAGTTTAAATATTTTAGATCCTGTCTAAATATTGGGAGGCCATTTGAGAGTTCAATATTTGTATCCCAATGTCCTTCTTTTGCCAATGTTGTAAACATCAGCCTAAAACTCAATTCATCACTGATAGTTTCTCAATGGGTCTCTGGGCCCTGCTCTGCTTTGTGACCCAGCTCAATGGAGTATACACTCAGCAGTTCTGGTAATCCTAACAAGCTTCTTTGATGTGCTGGAGGTCAAACTTCACACAATTACAGACCAGTCTCAGGTGTTATGTTATTAAAAACACCAATTTCAATGTCACCTTCCTCCATCAGAAATCTGAACCATGCTCAGCTGTGCTCTTTCAGTGCACAGCATCACTATGTCACTGGTGTATGGTGTAGTAAACACTGATTTTCACCATTGTTACTCTACTACATTGGGCTCAGAGCTCTTAGATATGAATGGTTGAAAACATAATTCTAAAGTCAAATAAATCAGGAATCTAGTCTTGGACTAAATAAAACAAAGGAAAGAAAAACGTATGCTTCCGCCAGGTAAGATGAAAGGTTAGTCTTTTAAATTATAAAACAAATTGTAGTACCAGCCTCTCCTGGGGGTCCTGCTCTTCCTGGCCTCCCAGGTGCTCCTTTCTCCCCCCTGTCACCCACATCTCCTGTCACAGGTATAAACAACGGCTGTGAAAGGAATGTGGTTCACATTCTTCCAACACAAACACACAAACAGTTCACAGATCTCTCCGACTTCTAGTCCGTTTCCAATGTTGAGGGAAAGTAGGTACTAGAGCTGTGCTCTGGTGCAGTATTTCAAAATCCATTTAAGTAGATTAACGTAACTGTAAGTAGCAAAATAGTCTAATATGCTCATTGAAGCACAGTTAAAAACAAATCTTTGTGATCAGTTACTCTGCCACTACTGTTCACTCAGTTACACATACCAACAATTTTTTTTCCATTAGCAGCTGTCAGTGTAATTCAACGACTTATCAAAAGACAAAACGATGATGACATCACTCTGCTTCAAGTAATTAAGTCCATACTCTAATTAGCCTTCTAGTCAAGTTTCTGAATGTGTTTAATGCACATTATTAATACACTCTTGCTGTTGGGTAATTAATTTGTTTTTTCAGGAAGAAAAAGACTTCTTTAGCACAGGATAAAGGCAAGTTGATATCTTACAATAAATGTGATTATAAATAAATCTTCGTCTTTTTCATGAAATACATTTTTAGAAGAACAAATACTAAACAATGATGCAGGCCAAATGTCTATCAATGCCTTGTGGTAAACACTTATGCCCCACTCTGGGATAACAGTGCTTATGCTCCTTGTCAATGCTGGATATATTTAATCAATACCTTTCAGCCCTGGAATGAGGATCTGTAAAGAGCAGGGTTCTTCAGCGATGTGTTGAGAATGAGCAGACCTCAGTAAAGACAGCCACAGCAGGCTAATGAGGCCATCCAGTAAAAACAGATCTCCTCTCATAACGAAGGCTTAGAGGCCACTGACTCCTGGGTTGAAGAACCAACACATTCAGGTATCGTCATAAGTCATGAACTGCTGCTTTAACTCTTCATGTAATCACAGAAAAATCGGGCATCCATTTAAAATCTTATCAGGCAACTTCATGTACGCTTGTGCAATGGAGTGCAAGCCAACATGAAATGCTCACCACATAATAAAAAATTACTAGGGTAGCATCTCAAAACCCTGTTGTACACAATTTCTACTAGTCAGTATTTTACAATATTGAAGAACATTTTATATTCAAGATACTGTAACCTATTCAATCCCTACCATAACTCTTAAAATTTTGGACCAATTCACAATCACAAAATAAGTGGTCATTTTTATTTTTGGAGAATGAAGTAGACTGGACTTTACAGAATATACATACTCTGGGGTAACTTTTGATACCATTTTAGCTAGTTCCACTTCTGTTCCATGGAGGCAAGCAATGATATATTGTGTCTACTGGCTGCTTCCAGGGTGACCTCAAGGTGATGAATAACGTGCCGAACAGCTGTACAAGCCATGTCAAGATTAATGATAGCAATAAATCCATGAGAAGCATAATTCAGCCAATGTCACTGTAAACAGGTAGGCTTGGAACACCACAACAATACTTCCAGCCACAAACAGGCTCCTAATCAATTATCACTTTTTACAGTGATACAATCTTATTAAAATGCAAACATCTTTCTACAAGTTACATAGAGATGGTACGGTACACTTATTGCCGTGTTCATTTCATGTTCGACAGCCCTAGCATTGACTCAAAATAACAGTAGTACTAATAGGACAATCTTAATTATCCAGAAAGCATATGTAAAAAGACAGTCTAAGTTATCATTTGTTTGCACAACCTTTTTATACAAAAATGTTCAAATAAATGTAAACAATTAAACACATTACATATCTGTTAATGTAAAAGCATTGACCACTGTCTCAGCATATTATGACTATTACAGTATGGCATTAGAAAACATGATCAATCAATATATTTATATGCATATTGTTGGACAGAAAGCATTAGTTAGCTTCAATTATAACACTAGAAAGGGAGAAACGCTTTAATTCAATCATAATCATGTGATTTATCAAAGCCAACACGTTAAGGCTCTTAAACATTATTCAACTTTTATAAAGAAGTTTATTTTTGGTTCTCGACTGACAACAAGATGGTCAAAAAAAATAAACACAACCAAACCACTTGGACTGTCATTTTACTTCATAGATTAACCAGTCAGCCTCTCTTAAAAAATAATAAAATTAAAATGGGCTTGTGATGAAACATTATTCAGCTAATGTTTTGTTGCCTAAGAATGGGTTTCTACATGAAATACATAAAGGAGACAAAGAAAGTAGGCAAACTGCTAATGAAAGCTACAAAAAATCCTCTGAATATCTGAACACTCTGGAATCATGCATTGGCACAAAGACATTTCCTTAATATTAATGTGTGGCAAGGCAGTCCAATCCATTATTTCATGAATGGTCACCTACCTTTAAAAATGCGTTAGATTCTCACAACAGCAACAAGTATCCTCTGCCTGCTGAGGCAATGCACAACTGAAACTCATAGCCCTGTTTACAGAAGCCTGACAGCTTTCAGTTTGCCAAGGGGATGAAGTCTTCCTTTTCAGCAACACAGAAATCTAAGAGAACAGTTCTCAACATTATCAGTAAACATTTCCTCACTGAGAAATGTCAGCTGTCTTGGTCAGAGATAATTGCATGGGAAAGTTTGTTACATTAATCTTATAAGCAGACAATGTTTTTCTTTATTAGAAAGCACAACCTAAAAATATAGAACCATCCTTTTCTCTGACTTAATTTATGAATGAGGAATAACTTTAAATCATTTCACTGTATATTTTTTTTTTACTTTTATCACACTTTCCTGGTTTTATTGGAGAAAATCTCTACTGGAAATGGAATTCCCTGATGAAACCATTTTTCCATCAGTTTTTGATTTAACACATTTTATGTAACTTGCATTCAGCTCTTAAAGCGGAGTGAAATTTCTATTTGACAATTACCTTGTGTTAAATAGTGGAATTTCAAGGCGGTCTTCATTCAGGTGCGTAAGCTGAAATGTACTTATTCAACAATAAAAAGCATGGTGGGAGTTGTCTAGTAACATTGTCATTCCCACCTGTCAGTTCATAAATTGATCAATAATTCGATTACCTATTTAGCCTGAAATTAATTCTTAATTGGTGAGGACAACATGCCAAGCACTGTGTGCTGAAGTTGTTGGAATTTTTTTTTTAAACAAACCACAGAATACAAAAAAATCAATAAGCAGATACCCGTAAGCGGTTACATGCAACACTTAGCACTGGTGATTATGGGCACAGTTGAAACAATAAACAGCAATCACAATGCCTTAGATGTCTCCCATTCCAGTACTTAAAAAAGGCAGAGGCTTGCTTGAGGTGTGACTGGCAGTGTGTTGGAAACATAACCCACAGTTAGAATGTAATAAAGCATAATTCCAGTTTAGGTTTGGGCACCTTGTAGTGAGGAGACTACAAGATGGCAACGCTAATACACAAAGAGTCATTGGTGGATTAATATGAAAACCGAGAATTATACATAAAAAGTGAATGCACACTGTAGACATTGGGTATCTTCAGATCCCAAGCTTAGACCTGTTTCCAGGCAACACCAAACCATTTTAGTCATCCCCGAGTTTAATCGAACAAAAAAAAATGGAAATGGCACATTTTAGGGAGTAAAATGTTCTCTCACAAGAAGGGGTAGGCCCCTATAGAAAAAAATCACAATAATTGGCAAAAAGAATTGGTAGAGCATCTCTCTAGAGCAAAAAAAAATGGAAACTGGAAATTTTAGGGCATAAAACGTTCTCTCATTAGAAAAATATCTTAGGGTATACCCACCTAGATAAAATCACAATGATTGGCAAAAAGAATTGGTAGAGCATCTGTCTCTTTGACAATCCACCAATCACAAAATGCAGTTCTTTTTTCTGGGTTTCCCATTCTACAGAGAACTAGGGATCTGTATTAACACAACTTACCTCTTTCTTCTCCTTTATTTTCTACCGTCATTTAGAACTGTAATCTATTCCTCCTGAGTGGGAGATACGACTGTCGGGAGAAAAGTTAGGATGCACATCTGCAGAGGTAAGTTTTTTAATCTTTATTTGACTTAAGTTATTACTTCGCACCTGTAAAACATAATATGAAGTGATTTCTAACATTTGATACTACTAGACTTGTCATACACTCCCGCTATGTGATGAGGTCTTCAGGGCACTTTCCCCATCCATTGTGATGTAGTGAGGGCATATACTTAGAAAGAACAGCCCAGCATGTGGGAACTCCAAAAGATACATATCCAGGCTGTCATTCAAACAGGTAGGAACCCAACCACACCAAAAGGCAATAACGCAGTTTTTAAAGTATTTCTGTAGGAACTTTTGGGGGACAATTGACAATTCATCAGTTATTAAAAGAACATTGCCTGTATTCTGTATTGCATGAGATTTCATTGAATGTATATATTTGAAGCACTGTTAAAAACTAATTTTCTGTACCATTAACAGTTTAGATGGCCAACTCTCATTGTACCATCATGGGTAGAGAAAAAAAAAAGACCTTGTCACTAGAAACATGTTTTGTTAAACAAGAATGTATTTCCTTGTGCACTTAGTCTACAATAGTAGAAATTAGGCTGATCATTGAAAAAAGTGATCATTGATACATTTGATTTACCCTTTAAAAACAATCTAGGTTCATCTTGTTTGCTCGAGATTTACACTGTCCGCGCCTGTAGCCTGGCCAAGGCTGAACAAAGCCAGACACCTCCACTCTGGCACCCAGGTTCTTTCCTTTTTAAGTCCAAGCATTGTATTAAATCAGAAAGCACTTATACTATCTCTAGGACTCTCAGGAACTGGAGGTGCCCAAACCTAAACTGGAATTATGCTTTATTACATCCTAACTGTGGGTTATGTTTCCAACACACTGCCAGTCAGACCAGAAACTAGGAAAAATAAAGGCTACTTAGACCTTATGCATAAGAATATTTAACAGTACATTGTGCTGCCAGTTAACTGAATTCCACTTTTTCCCCACATGCTTTCAAAGTGAAAGAATATGTAAAGCTTTATATAAACAAAAGGTTTATTCCATGATAAAAAGAGAAACCCAAGGTTTCAGCTGTGGAGCCTTCTTCGGTTGTCATCCCAAAGAAGGCTCCACAGCTGAAACCTTGCGTTTTCTTTCTTCTCTACTACTTGTTCCTTTGCAGCCTACGTATGCTGATGCAGCTACCCACCTGAAAAGTTTTATATGCTTTGCTTCCAAGGTGCAGTAGTACACATATAAAAACTAAGTTATCAAGCCCCACTTAACACTGCACACCATTAATAGGATTATATTTCACTGGAGAAAAAGCCAGAAGGGAAAACAAAGTACAGTTGATTCCCAAAGCTTCCACATTTCTCACTTACAAATTTCTTTAAGCTGCTCCTTAAAATTTACATTGGCTAGACATGGAAGACACCTGTAGAACTTATGCCGAGTTGTTCCGGCCGTCTGATACTAGGCCTCTTGTTTGACCAGCACTATTATGCAAGATTAAGTTGTGTGGCAGGACTCCCATTTGGACAATTGCATGCAGGCTGAAAGGCATTTCTTTATCTTCAAGGAATTACAGAAGACTCCCCACTATCAAACAATCCAAGTTCCATGCTGGTTTAGTGCCCATCTTCAGCTAACTGCACCTGAACTGCAGAAGTTTTTTTAAAAAAATGTGAACCAATAGGTTCAATAAACTGAAACCTATTTAAAGGTATTACTGAGCACTGCATGGCTTTTCTCCCGGTAACCAACCAATGATTGACCATTGTTCAAAATATACAAAGTTATTCTTATTATAGTTTACAATAAAATAAATCCCAATTCTAAAGTACCATTAAACCACTCCAGATAAGGAAAAACATGACAATAAATTTATTTAGTCGTCATCACTTTACAGCTGGAACTCTGGGAACTCAAATACAACATCTTTGCCTGTGAGCTTCTTGTAGACACCAGAGAAGGTCTCAACCTAAAATGGTAAAAAAAAAAACTTGTCACTCATTTTAGTAAGTTAAAAGCCTTTCAAATGATTAAACTTTAACATCACATTAAACATTTAAATATGTGCAGTAAAGTTAATCTGTGCCTCAACAAAATGCATATATAGTTTTAAGGGTTTCAGTATATATTGTCATTAATGAAAGCTTAAAAACAACTTAAGAATACCAGAGTTAAAATGTGCACTGCATGGTTTTTCTCCCCAGTAACTGCCCAAGGACTCTGGGAAGATGTAGGAATATACAGGACGCTGTCCTCACCAGCCAAAAGGCCGGGGACAAGCTTGCTCTCCAACGTCGTGGAACGGGACTGTACGTCATGGCACTGCGAAGTGCTACGCTCCCATACGCCACACGAACAGAGCCATATGAGAGCAACCTCACAGGATGTCCACGTTGTAGAGGGTGGGGGGGAGGTGGGTCAAACATAATTAGAGTTCTTGAGACTAACTTACTTTGTGTTCAACATTGTTTTGCTGGGCCTTGTCAAGGTGAACCTTAATGAGTCGGCTGCTGTCCAGTTTCACACGGATCCTCTTGCCAACAATTTCACTTGGAAAGACCAGGTCTTCAAGGATGGCATCATGCACTGCAGTCAGTGTACGGCTGAAACAGATCAACGGAACTGTTGTATATCACATTGTATATGACTTTAACGATTGTATACAATGAGAATATATAAGCTCGATTAATTCACCTCAGTCATGTCTTATGGTGAGTACCAGCATAATACAACAGCATCCTTTGAGTTTCTAAATCTTATCAGAACTTTAAAAACATTTGGTGGCAGCACAAAGTATAAAGTTTAAAAACTGACAGGGAGATAATGAAATGGTAAAAATCTCAGGTGTCACGTTTTTCACCATACACTTAAATTTGTTTAAAGCTGATTACTGCAAACCATATAACGTACAATTAGTCTACATTATTGAATAACATTTGAAATTCTTGAGAACTTTGATTATAAATGTCTATAGTTTCCACCTTTAGAAAAAGATTCTGAAGTATACCAACCTATCAACACTAACTTCAAATTTCTAGAAGACATGAAGCTATGACTAAACAAGTGCAATCAGATGGATTTTTACAGTATTTTATTACTTTAAAAATGCAAGTTGAAAATTATTCTAATGCTCCTATAGTCTTATAATTAGCTACAAATTCAACAGTGTTACTGTACAAATTTGAAAATGGCTAGATTTAGCACTCAGATTTTAACATCAACTGTCAAATTTTAATATTTTATACAAAACGTTGTGCACTGCATGGTTTTCCTCCCCAGTAATTGCCCAAGGACTCTGGGAAGGCATAGGAATATACAGTACGCTGTCCTCACCAGCCAGAAGGCCGGGGACAAGCTTGCTCTCCAACGTCGTGGAACGGGACTGTACATCATGGCACTGTGAAGTGCTACGCTCCCATACGCCACACGAACAGAGCCATGTGAGAGCAACCTCACAGGATGTCCACATTGGGTGTGAAAGTATGCCTAACATGAATTAAAGTTTCTCAGTTTTTACTAATACACCATTGAGGTAAATACAAATATTCAGTGATCGACAAGTATTTTTGCCTATTTAGAATTATTTCCCCACATAAAAGTAACAAGTTAATAATCAGGTTCAAGAGTATGTACTTTATTAAATATTTACGCTTTTGAACATACCTCCTGGGACGCTTCTGCTTGTTCTTTGTGCGGCTTTTTCTTGTTGGTTTGGGCAGAATTCTCCTCTGTTAAGAAAACATTCAACATGCTGTAAGACAGCCTGCTGGGATTTTACTGTAGTAATATAGCAGTAAAACCACCAACAGAGAAAAGACAACCAATCAAAACCAACCAGTATACATATAACCATATTAGCATACCCTTTTCGTCTGATATGAATAAAATCTAAGATCTTTCGGATCAGAGCAGTACATTCAAATTCACAATCTCAGGCTATAATTAAGGCAAAATAATGTGCACTGCATGGTTTTCCTCCCCAGTAACTGCCCAAGGACTCTGGGAAGGCATAGGAATATACAGAACGCTGTCCTCACCAGCCAGAAGGCCGGGGACAAACTTGCTCTCCAACGTCGTGGAACGGGACTGTACGTCACGGCACTGTGAAGTGCTACGCTCCCATACGCCACACGAACAGAGCCATATGAGAGCAACCTCACAGGATGTCCACGTTGGGGTTTAGCAATTCTGGATCAATAGACTGAAGATTCAAATTAAATCAGCATAAAAGCATAAGCACCAAAGCTGAAAGACATGGCTTGTATACAACATCATTGTCTATGTTAATCACAGCAGTACCACCTTCAAATCTGATCTTATCAGATCTCAGAAGCTAAACAAGACTTGGCCTAGTCAGTATTGAGATGGGAGACCTACAAGGAAAACTGAAATGCTGTTTAAGTCATTTTTATGGACTAGCAGGAAGTATGCTTCCCTCGTGATCAGAATGTCCAAATTAACACCCCAGCATAGTGACTGGGAATACTGCTATAGGAGGCATCGTCCTTCAGATGAAACATTTAACCAAGTCCGGGACTATACGGTTCTTAAAGATCCCATGGCACTATGTCAGAAGAGTAGACATATTAAACCAGTGCCATGGCTAAATGCCAATGTGGCCTACCTCATGCCCCTCCTTAATTCAAGTAGTGACAACTGCTCACTTCACTACCTGATCTGCTGTGTAGTGGGGCTCTTGCACATAATGACTGCCGCACGTCACCCAGGTGGGTGCTGCACTTCACAGGTGGATGAAGTGGGTCCCCTCTTATATGTAAAGCGCTCTGGGATCCTTTGGGATGAAAAGCGCTACGTAAATGCAATTAGTAAAACCATGTAGCTTTCTAAATTTACACGTAAAAGGAGCATCCGTCCATGTTAAAGAAGGAAAGCCTCTGAAGTACATCTAACTAGTGACTCCAAGCTCACATTTGGAAAAGTCTCCCAATATGATCGGAACAATAATTCCACTTCATTTGTAGTTCCACCTTATTAAATTCCAGCAGGGATCAAAACCAAGGGGAAATAAGATAGGCAGCACATTACATTCTTATTTCATGGTTGAAATCCACAAAGCAAAGTTTTATGAACATGGTTTAATAACGTGCAAACCAAAGGGAAAAAGTTAAACTTTTGTTAAACCAAGATATAGAGCTTCAGGTAAGACAGCAAAAGTACCTGGCCATAATTAGAAGATGGCCCAAGGCCAAACATACCTGGGCAATGAAGACTACGTGTTTCCCACTGAATTTCTTCTCCAGCTCTCGTACAAGCCGAACCTGGATCTTCTGGAAAGATTTCAGCTGAGGCACTGGCACAAAGATGATGATAGCTTTCCTGCCACCACCAACTTCAATTTCCTTAAAACATAAATAGAACACCTCATTCTAATAAAAATAACTACTTCAGGACAGAAACCTACCACAGACTAAATACATAAGACAGATGTAAAAATAATCACTAGTGTAAAGACTTGATCTTCCACTTGATTAGCAGAAGTTGTGCACTGCATGGTTTTTCTCCCCAGTAACTGCCCAAGGACTCTGGGAAGATGTAGGAATATACAGGACGCTGTCCTCACCAGCCAAAAGGCCGGGGACAAGCTTGCTCTCCAACGTCGTGGAACGGGACTGTACGTCAAAGCACTGTGAAGTGCTACGCTCCCATACGCCACACGAACAGAGCCATGTGAGAGCAACCTCACAGGATGTCCACGTTGGGGTTAAGTACAACATCAAATGTTTTGAAAAGCTCAATGAAAGCAATAAGTAATATTTAACAAAAAAAATGATTGTTCTGGTGAACGTTTAAGAATAAACCTTCACCTGTTCTTTTGCAGCCTACGCATACTAACTACTTGGTACAAATTTGTTTTATCCAAACCCCCACCACCCAAAAAAACCCGAATGTTTTACACCAGAGCATCTCAGAAGTCACACTGGCTCACAAACCTTAGCAGCAGTGATATTAAGCTCTCTCAGCTGAGCCTTCAAGTCAGAATTCATCTCCAACTCCAGAAGAGCCTGAAATACGCAAAGGTAAAACCTCGGATGTTTATACAACGAACTCAAGATAAAAATGACCCTATACCACACAACGGACGAAATGGCAATTATAACCAGAACTTGAAATTCACAAGTTGGTCAAAGGCTTTGATACAATTCATACCTGGGAAATGCCCGACTCGAACTCGTCGGGCTTTTCGCCATTGGGCTTCACGATTTTAGCGCTGGTACTGAACATGGCCTATCAAAGTGGAACAAAAAAAGACTATACATTAGTGAGGAGGAAAATATTCTAATCAGAAATTGAAAGACATTTTCTTCAGGCTTCTAAGACTGAAATGAACTAAAGAAGTGGTACACATATCAATCCAATAATCAGATGGACGCTTTTTTCTGCTTAACGCCAAAAACACGCCTATATGTGTATGCTCTTTTAATGCTAAAAGACAGTATCGAACATTTATAGTAGTAAAACAAACATACACGCATAGCTCAAATACGTCTTAAACGAAACCGGTTAGAAGTATCAGTACTGCAACAAATAGTTACAACAAAAACTGTTAAGTTTAAATGGGACTGCTCCTAGGTAAACCGACAGATATACCATCCATAGGGAAAGTTAATCTATATTCTTTAACAGGTCTTTGTGTGAAATTCTTGCATTGAATTTGAACGCTTTAGACTAACACACTTGGGGCCCGAACGATTATGGCTGTCCGTATCCTTCCAACACACCGCCAGATACAACCCTCTCCTTTTACCTTCACTGAACAGCCATCCACAAACAAAGAGACAAGAATCTAAAGCATCCCTTCATTCTTTATTAAATCAAAAACCAAAACACACTCTTTAGTGCGTATTTTAATTACTTTTTGTTTGAAAGCATAATCTCTGTTACACTACCAGCAACCTACCTCAGTCAGTGACGGCCTAGGAAGAGAGCGAACTCTCGCGAGAGACGGGTAAAAGCGCGGCGACTGAAGGATTGTGGGAAAACAGTCATTCGAAAGTACTGTGCGACTCACCGGGTCAAAGTGCAAGCTGCAACCGGGGTCGGCTTATATGTATATTTTGGTTTAATTTGAGATCTTAGTGTACTGTAATCAGGTGAACAATTCAGAATAAAAATAATTCTGCCAGCACTTTCTGTTGAAGAGGTTGCCTCTTTAATTATTCCTGGATTCTCATTATACGTTTCGAGAATGTTGTGTTCGTGCTGTGTGTAGCTTTTATGCATTGGAGTAAAACGTTCTTTATATTTTTTAACAGTTAAGGGGACTCTGTGGAGGGGGAAACTTATTCTCAGCCTTAACTTGATTTATGAACATTTGACTACTACACAGACAATCTGTAGGAGTAGGAATTAGAACACTCTATTTGAAACGTACCGAAGCTAAAATGTGTTATTATTGTTAATATAAACCCCAATGATTACGTGAAACAGGTGCTATTAAATGAAAGAAACAACGCCCACGCTGTGTTGGTTATCCGTACTTCACAAAAAAATCCGAAATACGCAATAATTTATTCTATTAACATTTTATTATTTTATTATTAAAAAAATGAAATGTAAAGTGTACCTTCTTCCTACGACATAACACCCTTATAGTTGGAGATGTTCCAGGTATTCATTGGTTTCATAAAGTATTAAAACACATAATACATTAATAAATTCAGTTTTATTTGGATACTTGAGCGTGTAATGTCTTGAAAAACATAGTCATAAAGTCAGTCATCAAATCAAGTCCCTTTCCTGCAGTCCTGGAAATCTCTTGCTTTTCAAAATTATTTTTTACCAGACAGTTAAAACTGGACAGTGACATGCTTATATTTAGGAGAGTACTGCTGTTTGTATGCTTGTAAATGCTGCATACCTCAAATTGTGCCAGTAAACTTACCAGTTGTATTTATAGGCAAATGTGCTACTGTATATGTCTCTTCAGATAAGTCAAATCATTAATAAAATAATGTATTAATATTATATTATTAATAATAATTAGGAACAGGTAAAAGTTTATTCCATGCCGAAAAGAAAAGAGACAACTTTTGGCTGAGGAGCCTTCTTAATAATTACAATAATTCTGACATTTCAGAATTTTACCTCTTCTCCAAAGCAGAGGGGTGATATATTTTTACCTGGTCAATTGTCCTTACCAAATATTGGGTTTTTTTAAAGAAAAAGGAACCTTTCTTAGTGATCATGAGTTGGCTAACTGTCATCAAAAAACACATTGTTTGTAATATTGTGTAATTACTGTACAAGCAAGGAAGGGGAGATTAGATGTGAAGGGGCAAAGGCGTTTTGGAAAGATGTTCAGTAGGCTGCTCTGTTTTCTGCAGTATAGGACAATGAGAGGTGCTTGGATGCTGGTCTCAGTCCCTCCACAAAGATGTCATAGTAGTTTTATAAGCAATAGTGACACATTCATGCAAATTAACAGTTCATTCACAATCCAGTTGTAATGTCTCTGTTATCGCTGGGCCCTTTAAATGTTTAATAACAATACATTATATTGTTATGAGCTACAGTAGGTTTCAACGTTTCACTAACGTTTGCAGTTCAGATTCGGATTGCACTACTCACAGTCTTGTTCAGAAGTGAGCCTGCAGATAAACAACGAGACAGGTAAACACAGATAATCAGAGGGGGTTTCTGGTGATTTACTCTGGTTAATTAGCTTCATAGTAAATCATTAGAGCCTTCAACGGCAAGTAAAAACAGCATGATGAAAGGAGAAAGGAACAAGGGGAAGACAGAATAGAAGAAACTATCACCCTTCTCTTCCTCAAAGCTAGAGCACGTGAGAGGGACTTGCTCTCATCAGTTTTGGAGACCAGACTCTTGCTTAGTAATCTGATTATTATTTTAGAGAGTTTGCGTCCTACTTATTTTAGAAAATTCTAATTTCCTATATTGTGAAATCCTCAGACTTTAAACATACCTTGCGAGCTTGTGATACATTTCTAGATTGATTCCAATTCACTTCTGGACATCCATGTTATAGGAAAGGAGATGTAGTTCTGAGCTGTATTCTTTTATTAGGTCACAAGGATGTTCTCATTTTGCCCTGCAAAATGGGTTTCTAAGTCTGTAGGAGGAAGGCCTTTGAAACACATAGACTGGTACATACAGTATGTGTTTTTGTTTGACTTTGTGTAGTTGTACCTTAAGTATTGATAATACATTTTCTTTTGAATGTACAGCTTTTGAATTCGATTTCATTACTATTACTATAACGCATACGGCCACCATTGCAGGTTGTTCTAGCTTTCTAGCGTGGTGACATCACCGCAGCTGTTGGGCTGAGGGGAGAGTTCCCTTTAGCTCAAGTGGCTGGGTCCCTGTTGAGTGACGCCGGAGGCCTTGGTTTGAGTCCCCGTTGGTGGGGGGCCAACCTGAGGCGGCAGAGGTGAGGGCGCATACCCAGGAGAACTCCATTGACATTGGTGTCAGAGTGGGGTGGGACAGCCCTTTGCCGAGGACGGTGAATTAAGCAGGGGAGAGTGTAACGCATACGGCCACCATTACAGGTCGTTCGAGCCGGCTTACCAGCGCAGTGATGTCACCGCTCTTCCCTGTGAATAACAGAGACCACAGCCGTCGGGCTGAAGTGGGGGGCTGACCTGAGGCGGCAGAGGCTAGGGCGCAAACCCACATGAACCCCAGAGCGCTACACTATATTGCTAGAGAATATAAAAAAAAAATTAACATGCCATTTCTCACATGCCTCATTTAACCTAACAGCATTTTACTTTACTGCTCCCTTTATTTTGTAACATAAAGGAACCTTTCTTATGTTACATAAGAAATATCAAATATTGTTGTCTGCTCTATATGACAATGTGGAACTCTATCCTCACACAAACAGGGAGGATTGCTGATCTCCAGGAAAATGTAAATATTGCTTATTGCTAGTACAGCTGCAATGCATAACACAGACACATTCATACTGTATTTCTCCAGAGCTATAGATCTTATTCTGGAGCCAGCTGGCATCCTTTTAGAATCAGGTGTCTATTTTTTTATCTGAAATAAGAAAATATGAAATATTAAAAGCAATAGGAGACCATTAAGAGAGTCTGGTTCGTTTGGTTGTTAGTGGCTGACTAATGCAAGGATCTCACCCTGCATATCTTGAAATAAGCTAGGACATCAGCTGTGATATTATTATTTTTTTAATTTATATAAAATATCTGTGTATTTAGAGTACAAACTGCGGTATCTTATTAGAGACGTTTAGATGTCTTCGTCTTCCAACCAGCAGAGTGCGTATTTTGTTACATGCACACCTGTCTTAAATTTTACCATAGAATAACTTGGAAGTGAACAATATGGTTCTTGTCTGCTGTATTTTATTTGACCACAGACGGGAAGAGACGTAAAGGAGGTGGGGAAAAGCAAGTGTTGAGTTCATGGGAAACGGGGAGAAGCGATTTGAGTTAGGTTTTGATGCAAACAAGGGAGGGTGTTGAAGTTTTTATTTTTACTATTACCTTGATTTTAAAGTTGCAGTTTTCGTTATTTTTAAAAGATGTACCACGTTCTGCTGTGAGGATGTTATCGTCTTCAGGTTTTTGTGAAACACGCAAAGCGCAGAGACACAAATACTAAGTCAGTTTTTAAACCGATATTAAAGGTTATGTTGAAATTGTTAGGTTTCTACAGCATTATACGCAGAAGTGTGTGCCTTGGAACAGCAGAGATGGTGAAGGGAAGATATTTCTACGCCGTGAGGAAAGGAAAGAGGCCTGGTGTTTATAATACATGGTAGGTTACAGTCATGGAGTGTATAGTGATGGAGTATTTTAAACATTATTTTTTATTTATCGTAATAAACATTTGATCCCATGTATGCAGATTGATTTTGGTTGGTGTATAGTAGGATATTACACAGCTAAAAACGAAAAGTCTTACACGAAATGAAAAGTATCAGTCTGAAACGACAATAAATACCTTAACCGTACATTATCGCCATTATAACTTGATTTGACTTGCGTTGTTTTATTTGTCTTATAATCATTTAAGTAGTCATTTAAATGCATCACGTAAAGATAAAATTGAGCTGACGCAAACCGTTTTACTTGTACAATGAGAAATTAAACTGTATTGGCAAATGAGGTCTACGGCAAATAAAGACAATTTAAATATTACTGTGAGATAAATGTACAGTATGCTACAGTTATGGAACATGGACTTTATTATACTGAAGCTATTTGCAATACTACGGAAAATCTAAAAATATAACCCTATTCATGCTAATGGAAAATCTTTTTTTACACTAGTAAGTCCCAATTATTATACCAAGTTCCTCCAGCTTTGAATTATTCAATGAATGATAACGAAGAGTCAATTTCAGCAGTTAATGTTTTGTAGCTTCTCATATGAATGGAAAACGTCTCATTTATTCATTCCAGGGATGAATGTAAGTGTCAAGTTGACAAGTTTCCCTCTGCCGTTTTTAAGAAATTTGCTTCAGAAGAGGAAGCTTGGGCATTTGTTGGCACGAAAACCGAAGAGCCAGTTGCATCTTCAGAAGCAGGTATTAGGATAAAATATGTAATTTCTCTATACTTATCTTAGTTAAAGCATTTATGGCCAAATTCAGGTACTTGTTTTGTCAAATTTCGTAATGCTGGAGTAATGTATTGATTTCTCTCTAATTTCTCAGTATTTTTATCTTTTGACCACTGTCAACAGCCAAGTCTGAAAGCAAGTAGTGTTTACCCTCACAATTCTTCTCTCTGCCATCCTTACAGTTCACAATTCCTTTTGTTTTATTCCCAACTGCCCTAAACTTTGCATTTATTGTACTATTAGGATTGGACATTACTTAAACTTCTGGAGGGTGAAATGTAGTCAAGTGTGGATTATAACTTGGAGGTTGCACATATGTTAACTGTGAATGTGCTGAAGTGCTGAGCTTGAAGAAGCTACGTATGAAAAAAAGTGTCAAGATCGACACCTAATTTACATATCCTGGACAATTTGGTTTTGGGGAAGCAGTGAAAGAGACAGTTGGAATTGTAGGGATATAATGTATATATATTTTGATTTGTTTAATTAAATCAAGGGATGCATTTGTACAATTTGCGCAAGAACTGTTCACTGAATGGACTTTGTTTAGAATGTTGTGAGCACAATAAGAACACAAAAAAGGTGACAAGCAAGAGGAGGCCATTGAGTCCTGCTGTGTGGTTAAGCCAGTATTTCATCTTCAATGTTATGGCTAGGTGCCTCTTTATCTATTCCCACAGTGTTTCACTTAAAGGAGTGCCTCCTTGTCACCAGTTCAAATGTGCTTCCACATAGTTTTCACATGTGACCTCTTGTTCATGTTTCATTGCTGATATTCGAGTTCATTGCCTTGACTTAAGTAGACATTGGTCAGAGCATTTGAGGATTTAGAATTCTTTGTTTATGGAATGTTATGATCATATTTATAAATATAAAACAAAGTAATATCCAGTGTAGGACTATGGGCTAGTGAAATTCATCTTACTTTCTCCTGATCAGGTGAATACTGTAGTGACCCATTCAGCTCATCTGGGATGCTGAAAGCTGCTCTTTTATCAAAATAACCAGGACTAAAAAAATAACGTTAATGGAGAACTACTACATAAAATGTTGATGGGAATATCGCGCTGATAATAAGGTTGCTGTTTGTATTTGTGTGAAAGATATGTGACCTGTTTTACAGGAAGCAGCAGCAGCAGTGAAGTGGAGCACACAGGCAGTGAATCTGTAACAATCTTGGCAACGTCATGTGGATCCAAGAGGTTGTGCCCAGATTCAGGGGAAGCAGAGAGTGCATCAAAACGCCTCAAGAGGACAGTGGAAGGGTCAGAATACACCTCTTCAGTCACAGTGGGCGACGATAGTTTCACGTACATGGGTAAAGAGAAAATGTCAAATAATACATTAAGTAAATATGTTTTGGCTTGTATGTCGTTAGCTGATCAGAATGAATGTTGCATCTGTCATATTGCCACATTTGCACTCATATTTAGCTTCTACAGAAACAAACTAGAGTGTCGAATGTGATCTTTCAAACTAACGCACAGCTAATAGCTAACAGCTTCGATAATGCTCCAGATATATAATGCTCCAAATGTTTATATGGGTGGCAGGAATAGTTTACAGTGAGATTTAAATAATCTGGAGACAGAATGATACATCAGTGGTTGATTAACATAACTGTGTCCTTACTAAATATTTTTTTTCAAAACTCTGGGAGATTATCCAGTGATTATCTGCATGAATGATTGTTATATATATGTTGCTGCATTTCACTTACAATCATGAAAGGTTTCTAGTTTCCAGAGGCAGAGATCACATTGCAGTTGGCATTCATGTTATTTCATTACACTTCCTTCACCCCATTTTCCAAGGGGCAGTAACTATGTGATGGCTAATGCTCAGGTTATTGCCTGTGATGCTTGTTTGCTTTTAATGCTCCCTCAATTTGGTGGCTGTGAAGTGGTAATAGTGTAATCATAAGGTGATTATCTAGCACTCACCATTTCTGTAGCTCTGTCTTGTACCCCTGCTGTCAGTCTTGGTCTACTCTTATGAGCTTTATAGTTCACTGAACCAAACTAAAATGACTTCTTGCCTGGTAAAAGTGTTACTCGTTTTTCCGGTATAAATTGCTTGGTGTGTATTTGTATATTTGGCAGATATAATTCCAATAAGCATTTTGTTGTCATCTGGATCATGAATCCGTAGTTAAGATAGTAGTGACAGCTTTGTATGCTGATCTATCACTTGTTTTGGCCATTGAAAAAGCTTGTATTAAGGGAATCATGGCTTTTGTGTGCTTTTAAGGTGATGCTGTGGTTGTCTATACTGATGGCTGCTGTTCAGCAAATGGAAAACGAGGCGCACGGGCTGGAATTGGGGTCTACTGGGGACTCGATCATCCTTTGTAAGTGAACTTTTTATTCTTAGGTAGCAGCTGTGGCTCAAGAATGAAACCTCATTGGCTTTGAAATGTACTAAAATTCACAATTGTCCGTAATTTAATTCTGCAATATTAAGTTACCCATTTTTTGCAGCGTCACAAACGCTTGAATATATGCCTTTATTTTAAATGTACATTTTAACTGTTGACTTATAATTGTCTATTATTACTGAACCTGATTCACAATGATTTTCCTAGATCAGTTTGGTAGAGCACAAAGCTTACACTAACAGACACGTTTTATTAGTCAAGCTGCATTGGCCATATCACCCTGCAACTCGCAACTGGCAACCTACTGAAGTAAAGCAGGTGTGAGCCTGGTCAGTACCTGGCTGGGAGACTCCTGGGAAAAACTAAGGTCACTGCTGGAAAAGGTGTTAATGGAGCCAGCAGGGGGCGCTCACCCTGCGGTATATGTGGGTCCTAATACCCCAGTATAGTGATAGGGACACTATACTGTAAACAGGCACCGTTTTATGAGACGTAAAACTGAGGTCCTGGCTCTCTGTGGTCATTAAAAATCCCAGGGCGTTTCTCGAAATGAGTAGGGGTGTAACCCCGGCGTCCTGGCCAAATGTTCCATTGGCCCTTACCAATCATGGCCTCCTAATAATCCCCCTCTATGAATTTGGCTTCATTACTCCGCTCTACTCCCCACTGATAACTGATGTGTGGTGAGCGTTCTGGTGCACTATGGCTGCCATCGCATCATCCAGGTGGATGATGCACATGCACACTGGTGGTGGTGGAGGGGAGTCCCCATTACCTGTAAAGCGCTTTGAGTGGAGTGTCCAGAAAAGAGCTATATAAGTGTAAGAAATTATTATTATTATTTATTATTATTACTACTACTACTACTACTACATCTATACTGCTTTCCAAGAGCCTATTGTTGAAGGATAGAGTGAGGGAAGAAGGGATACTAAAGAAGTTTTTTAGGAGACCAGTTGAAAACAATGTAGGGAGAGGCTCTCACTTTCATGTCTATATACTGTTCTGCATTGCTATGATCTTTTGTCTGAGTGCACGGGCAAAATTGAATTTATAAAAATTTGAGACTGAAGTGTTTACTTTTTTTGAGGCATGGATAGTCACAGTAACATAAAATCCTATACATGCCAAGCTGACAGCAGCCAGCAATTGGTGACACCCCTTAGGCTTAAATGTTTCCTGCTCGACACTGCTTGGCTCCTGGACAGTCTTAGTCACAGATGGCAAGTGTAATGGCCTGGGGGACCAGGACCTGTTCTTCTTTTTGAGGCGAGAACTTACCTTATTGTAGGAACATCTACCTGTGATATATTTAAATAAGAGGAAGCTATTTAACGAATACAAAAAATGTAAAATCACTTGAAATTATGCATTTTCCTCTTGTTACCATCACTATAATAGATTAATAAATACTACAGTACGTTGTGAGCTTTAACTTCTGGATTTTAGAAGACAGTACATGGAAATTGTAAACATTCGTGACAGCAGACCTTTCCTTGGGGTTACAGCTGTTTTTTTTTAAGGTTTTTCTTTCGTCTTTTCTCATCCAGGAATGTAAATGACAGACTACACGGAAAACAAACTAATCAGAGAGCAGAAATACAGGCAAGTCATGTGTGAAAGGGTAAACTGTGTACGTTATTTCTCTTGAACAGCTTGGAGGTGAATAAAACCTGCAATGTACACTTGTGTTGTCTTCGCTCTCTTCCCCTCCGAGTTGGCTAGTTATTTATTATTGGATATTGTTACAAAGAATGGACTTAGGCACCCAGGATCTGTCAAACTACTTTCAAAAGCTGCTATTTCAAACTCAGAGCGGAGGTGCTTTTACTAAAGTGTAGTAATTTTACTATTTACTATGAAAAATTGTATTTCTCTTAGTTTTAATTAAAAAACCTTTGCCTTTTCTGAAACCTGATTTGTGTATGCATTTAATTCAGTAATTGGGAAGTTTTCTCATTTTTAGTTTTGATAATTTCATATTATGTCCATTTAGGCCGCGTGTAAAGCATTGGAACAAGCAAAAAGCATGAATATGAAGAAAATTGTAATCTACACTGACAGCATGTTTACGATCAATGGTATGTTAAACTGTTACTTTCAGCACTTTAGTGTCTTCAAGACAAGTGGCTTACAAGTACTTGAGATTTGATTGTTGTAACCAGTCCTGGACATTGAAACCTATGGAGACTTATTAACTTGTTCTGTGATTTATAAGGTCATTTGTTACACCAAAGCTAACTTACTGTTGCTGTTACTACATGCTATGTACACTTACTCAACCCATTTCTCTGGGTTTTCATTAGTAATTACTTTTCATGTTTGAACATTTTTTCACTTGGGGGTTGTGCATTACAAAGTGTAAATACAAGTAAAATAAATTCTGATTTAATATGTCTTGAGACTGTGAGCCCACAAAGTGTGTTGCTTCACAAAATGTGTGTAGACTTTCTGTAGGCACTCTATATTAAAATTGTGTACATTTATTAGGACTTCAGTTTAATTTTAAAATTACCTAAAATATCCTAACCATAAAAAATTGACATGTGAAAGAAATATGTAGGAAGCAAAAACGAAACAAACCATAGTTAAGTCCTACTTTGAAGGCCATTTTAATCTTATGTTGACTATGGGATTATTGAACAACTGTTGCTCAGTTATTTACACATTCAGTATAGCTTGAACGTATAGTACTTTAATTTCCCTTTGGGTTTCATAGATATAGAGGGACTGTTGCCAATGCAAAGAATGGTTGTGTATACAAGGATGAATATTTTGCTGTGTTATATTCACATATGGTACTGTAGACATATCCTTGTATCTCTAAAGGGTCAGGCTGAAGTTAATTAAAATGATGTCATGTTCATTTCAGAACTGATTTCTTATTTTCAAAGGCATTACAAAATGGGTGAAGAATTGGAAGACTAACGGATGGAGGCTTAAAACTGGTGGGCAGGTCATTAACAAAGAGGACTTCCAAAAGCTTGACAAGTTGACCGAAGGCTTGGAGATAGTTTGGGTAAGTGTATTTAGACAACATATAGTCAAAGACTGTAACCAGGCAACATGTTATGTGTTCCATTGGCTGTAAATTGAAAAGTGAGCCTTTACTCCCCAGTCTGCATACAGGTAAGTGTGAGTTCCATTTGGACCAGTCTGTGTGAAAGCTTATTTGCATTTTTATAAATATGAAATATTAACATTAATGAGTTCTTTACAAATCTCAAATAGGTATTTTAATGGGGTATGTAGAGAACTTTAAAAGTAGGCCAAGTCTGTATCTGTAGCATACGTAGATCAGAAATTACAAATGCCTCAGAAGAGCCTTTTGTAGATATAGAAATGACCATACTTAAAAAAGCTTTAAATCTCAAAGTGAATTATGCCTGAAATCCTACTTACAAGACAAATGTATTGTATATGCCACATTTTGAGAAATAAGGTTTTTTTTAGTGTGGCACACAAATGTATTTAATCAAAACTTAATATTAATAAAATATGTATACAAAAATGATTTGAAGGAGGATTTTGAGAGGATGTGTTTTATTTTCTTTAAAAGGGAGATTATTTGACTATCCATGTCCATAATTGTTCTAGCCTTTGAGAGTTACAATGAGCTGGAGCCTAACCTGCAAGACTGCACCCAGGATGGGATACTTTTCTTCATAGTCTGCTTTCTTGAAATTGTTCATTTGAAACATTGAAACATTTAGTTTAGGCTCTAGTTTGAAAGCATTTTATTTAAAATATTGACTTATTATGGGTCACTGTTTTCTAATTCACCTGTTTGTCCTATTCTTTTTATTGTATTACAAGATCAGCACAAATGTTTCATTTTGCGAACTAATTGATAGATCAGTCCTTCTCAGTTTCCACCTTTTCCATTGACAGACTTGTTTTTTTCACTGTCTTTACGAGGATAGTTGTAGTTTTCCTACAAAACCACTTCTTCGTTAGCATTTTTCTCCTGAGCACTGTGTATTCACTAATGTTATATTCAGCACCATTACTCTCTGTTAGCTATATTTCTAGAATTCCAGTTACTGTGCATAATGAATACTTGTTAAAGTGTCAGCTTCTGTCTCATTATGTAGCATTTAGATAGAGGCATTTCATTGCCTTATCCTTTATTTCCTTTATCCTTTGAGTTGTCTTTTCGACTTTATTCTTTTAGTTCTCTTATTGACTTTCTGTATATTCAATCTACATTTTCTCTTTCTTTGGTTTCTCTCCCCATTCCACTGTGGTTGCAATGTTTTTGAATTTTCTTTGGATTTGTGTGCCACGACATCTGGTGACAATCTGATTTACTGTAGATGTAATCTGTCATATCTGCGCTGACGGTGTTTGCCATGGTAGACAATGCTGAGGCCTGCTTTGGCACACCATGGAACTGCTCACACCACGATAACGATGGTTTGCTCCCTTTTTATCAGATGCACATTCCAGGCCATGCTGGATATAGAGGAAATGAAGAAGCTGACCGTCTGGCAAGAGAGGGAGCATGCAAGCCATTGAATTAACAACTATCAGTCAAGTCCTCTGCTATCTGATTAGAGACATTTTCCACCCAGTTTCCATATAGCTAAACTATTAAAACAGATATCGATCTCAGATTCTTTTACATTTTGTATTTGTGCATTTGTCAAACTAATCTGTCCAAGTTTAAATGAAAGCATGGATGTGATTAATGTTAGGAATAAAACGCTGTGTATTTAAGTTATGTTCTTTGACAGAGCCTGTAGTATATTTTTTCAGGTGTATATTTTTTTGAAGGTTTTTATTTTCTTAAAAGAATCTGATAATTTGTTTCAGTAGAGCAGTGGCAGTTAAACATTATCAAAATAACCTTTTTTCTTTTGGATACTAAATGAGAGCCCTCTGCTTATTTTTTAAATGACAAAATGAAAGTGTAATGTTGTTGGTAAAACAGGTTGTGAAGAAAGTTCACACGTATTGTTTAAATTGTGAACTCATTAAAATGAAACATTTAATATAGTGGGGTTTGTCATTTCTACAGTTTTTGTTAATATAAATCAGTAGGGATGATTTTACACTGGCTAATCCAATACAAGAAATACTTTTCATTTAGCAGATGTCTACTTAATAGTACAATGCAGGGATATCTGATACTGGTCTTAGGGCTAGAGGGTCATGTATTCTCTTTTTTGCTCCACAGCTAGAGCCCGCACTGACAACCCTTGATTAATTATCATGAACAAAGGCTCTCTGTGATTCACTCTAACACTTCAGTGTTCAAATGTTCATGGAAAATCTTTATATAATTTTACTTGCACTAGAAAGTTGCAGTTTGGAGGAAAGGTGCATCTTTGAACTGTTGTATGTCTCAAATTGCCTAAAAATAACAACATTGATTATATGATATTTAAACTAACTTTCTAAGGTCTGATTTCACAAATCGAGAATTGTTCCCAGGCATCCTGGAGGTTCTAGTGCAGGGTTCTCTAAACCTTGTCCTGGTGAGCCCCAGTCCATCCGTTATTATTGGTAACCACTAGCCCTTGAACAATTTAATTATGGTCAATTAAACCGTTGTTTTGCTAACTTAAGAACAAAAGAATAGTTACAGATGAGTTGGTGCCAATCAGGCAATCTGGTCCATTTAGTTATAACTGTAACTTACTGATACAAGGATCTCATACAGCAATTTTGTGAGGGAAGTCAATACTGTATATTGGATTCAGCCACACACTGTAGTTGGGCAGCTTGTTCCATTGTCCCACAACCCTCTGGGTAATGAAATACTTCCTGTTCTCAGTTTTAAATAAAATTAAATCTCGTTTCTACTTTCATACATTCTGGTTCATTTTGAAGACGTCTTGTCATTGTCAATGCCTTTGAGGATTTTGAATACTTGCATCAATCCTCTTTGTTAAAGACTAAAAAGGTTCACTACTTTCAGGCTGTCTCTGGCTGCTCTTTGCTGGAGTGCTTCTAGAGCAGCTATATCTTTTATATAACCTGATGATGGAAATTGTACACAATGTTCTAAATGAGGCCTAACTCTTAGATTTAAAATCTCTTGATTTTACATGCATGTGTATAAAAATGCAAGACAACAAGAAAAGACCTTAGTGACTTTATAAGATAATGATGGTTGAAGTACATGTGGGAGGAGCTTCGGTGATCGAGACAGCTTAATGTTCTCAAGTTTCACAAGCAACAGTGCCTAAGAAGATGCAACATCAGCATATGGTAACGGTAGGCAGAAATGCATCCTCCAGGGTCATGATAGCTGTGTATTATTTCTAAGCACAAGGCAAAACACCAAACAACTGCAAATAGATTGCAAATTTCAACCTACAACACTAGAAGCCAGTTTAATCAAATAATAGTCCAGAACCCCAGATATTGGATATCACACCAGCCATACGTGTTTGTGAGTCCAAAGTGGTCCCTCTTTTAAATTATTTCCAGTCACTTCGGACTTACTTTTAGACGTGCCGAGTTAGGAAGCAGAGTGCAATATTATTATATACATAACCAAGAAGTAAACTGGTATATTCAAATTTCTGATAGCTGCAATATACTGACATCCCACCCTGTCAGTTTTCACAAACCATATCAGGAATTAATCACTTTCTGATATTGGATGGATTATGCTTATTTCTGTAACAGATTCTGATAAGAGCTATATTTGTTCTATAGTGACTAAAAAGACCAAACTGGGAAGTTTAACACTAGCAAATCACTTACAAGCGTAAGCATGTCTGAGATCAGATCACCTCTCACGGCAGAACTCTTGACCAACAGCTATGAATTACCATGAAAATGAGCAGGATTTCCCAAGAGCTAGTCAAATTTTACTCAGGTAGACCTTAATTGTAGAAAGTGATATTTAATATTCTCTTGCAATAACAGATCAGGATCACTTCCAGATAGGGTAGCGTGAACTGAAGATATGTGGGGCAATTCCTGCTAAAATACTGTAGCATATTGGGCAAACTGAAGGTACTGTTGAAAAGGATAATTGGAAGGAAGAGGAGCTCAGAATAAGGAGGACTTGTGAAAGGATCCTGACCGGCATTTGGAGCCAAGTACTTGACCTGAATTTAGAAATGAGAAAGAGAGTCTGCAATACAAACAAGGTAACCTGGAATGTGAACTGCAATGATTAGAAACAGATAGGAAGAGATATTTGAGACATCTGAGGAATTTCATGATAAGCTGGGAGGACCGGTTTACTGCAAACCAATACCCTTGATAACAGCCCGTGACAGACAGGCCTGCAGTGAAACCCTGATGATGGGAGATGACAGAAACTGTGGTCAACTCCAAGTGCCAAAATTGTTTTTTGCTTCACAATCTGAAGTTAGGGTTACATGGTGATGCAAGGAGGAAACTGAAGAAACAAGACCTAAAAAATAGGAGATAAATCCCTGGCCTTGTGGGAGGATATGCACGGCATAGTTCAGATGGCCCAGTAAAGGACAATAAATCCCTTTTAGTACAAAACTTGACAAGTAGATGGAGAGACAATTGAATACAATCTCTAGGCAAGGAGGCAGAAAAATCTTTAAATTTGAGAACAATTCCACAAAATTAAAAGATTCTAGAGGAACTTTTCCTCAACAAGGAGGACACCTACAGTATTTTCCCTAAAAACAGATCGGGATGGATAAGACTCCTGGTGAAATCTACAGCAAGGAAACTGTCAAAGAGCTGAGGAAGTGGAAGCTTGTAATTATTCCACATGTAGGGTGGTGAAAACATTTGAACTGCCAAAGGTTAACTAAACTGCAAAGTAAAATTTACCTCATTGGCATACACCAATGATATGCTAATGATTTCAGATAAAATTTCAGGCATGGTTTTGAATGCCTTTGAAAGACAGGCCATCTAGTAGATAGAAAAGATAGGATCAGGGAGGTAAGGCAATTCAGAAGCAAGTTCAGAAATATCAGTGGGGGTGGAAAGATAAAAATAAATAGTCATTGAGGAGCACAGACAGTGAGGGGTGGCAGAGGCACACAGAGTGGGGGTGAGGTGTTTTACTGTGATAGCTGCAGATGCCAAGGAATCAAGAGAATAAGGAAGAGCAGGATGAGGAACTGAAGTTATTTCAAAGTTGGTGATCTCACATGAACAATATAGGATTGCTGAGAATATCTTGAGATTGGTGAAGATTAAATGTGGCTTGGGTTTAATGAGAAACACTGCAGGGGGGGAACAGAAGAGGAGAAAGGAGCATGGTCAATCCTGGGCTCAGCTGCAGGTCAGAGGTATGAAGTAATAGATAAACAGAGGAGAACATGCTACAGGAGAGAGATCTGACACAAACACAAACCCAGAGGTCAGTGACCAGAAGTCTCCTCTAGGAACAGTGTTTCCACTGGAGTAAACAAGCTGCTGCTTTGACATAAAAAAAAGTTTGTGATATTCATATAACAAAGATTCCTTGAAATGGCTAGATCTAAAATAATGCGTGTGTATTTGTGGAGCTCCTGTCAATGGTTAGGAAATACTGAGCACAAAATATTCCTGAAAACACTGAGAGACTAATTTTCTGAAATGGTGAGAATGAAAGAGGAGCAAAGGTCAGTAGATTTCAGTAGGATGGAAAGAAGGCTGTAATTACAGAGGGAATCAGCAGGGTAAGGATGCTCTCCTTATTGTTGTATACAGTTACTGTTTTGTTCAGAAACGAATCTGTTATAAAACAGGAATTGATGTGTCAAAGAAAATCTTCATGGGCGTATTCTGCACACAACCAAAGAAGGCTCGAAACCTTGTGTTTCTTTTCTTTTCTTTTCAGCATGGAATAAACCTTTACTTGTTCCTGTTCATAACAATGTTTACCTTCTATTTAAAAAAATGCTCCATTATCTGGGGATGATCCTCTTATTGTTCTTCATAGAGCTGTCTTGAGAGCTGCTCTAACTGTAAAAAGGCAGAGATGCACAGCTTATGATTTCTAGTGTTTTCTATGAAGACATTAAAAAACTGCAGCTTCTACTATCAAACCAGCCTCGAGCAGTAAGCTTATTAGGAGGGGCAGCAAACCAGTAGAAGAGTTTAAGCTGCCTGAGAGGTGTGTTGGCAGCTAGATACTTGCCTCACTCCACATGCTACTGGCACCCTGGAAGAGTGTGTGGAGCACCTTCAAGTCATGTAAATCTTGCTCGCAAACTAACTGAAACACTGCTTACCACCAGTCCTGGTTCTGGCTGACTGAGCAGGTATTTTTCCTTCCTACTGAGCTGTAAGGTCACCACTTGCATGCTTTCACAGATGATGGGTTTTAATTAAGATAAGATCACTTTATTAGCCATATACAATTTCTTGCATTAGGAATTTGTCTTTTCGCATAACCCAGCTTGCTCTCCATGAGACACAGACACAGAGAAAGGGAGAGAAGCTTGGGGTCAGAGCGCAGGGTCAGCCATTGTACAGCGCCCCTGGAGCAGTTAGGTTTAAGGGCCTTGCTCAGGGGCCCAACAGATTTAATTGAGCTCCCATTAGCTGAAATAAAACATTATACTGTACTTAATTATCCCTCAGAGGAAATAATGATGAAAAAGTGTTCAGGATGTATTTTATTGTACATATTTAAGATCATTATTTTGTCTCTTATTTTTTGTGAATAACATACATTGATTTTTTAGATTTTTATAATGAGTATTTTTAAACCTAATTGCTATGACTCTCGAATCAGTAACATTGAGCAGCTATTCCCTTGGTTCTGATCAATGTTAAGGAATAGTGAACAGCTAATCAGTATTAAGTATTTACCGTGCACAGTCATGATTAATCTTGGGTATATTATTTCAGCAAAGGCAAAATGATTAACGCATGAATTCCTTTCAGTGCATGGGGGGATTCTAAAAATTCCCTCCTATCTAAATGTGCCTAGATAGACTTGAAATCAGACTGTAATTCTACAAAATCAGCAGTTCTATTTAAAGCATCTATTGATCTAGTCATCTAATCTGATTGTTTCTTTTTACTTGTTTGCGCCCTCAGCGCTGTGTTTCAGTCACACCCTACTCCAAGTATAGATCTACTCAGTGAAGGTATGTACAGTACAGTAAATGTAGTCCCCCCACTATTCATTTATCCATTTATTTATGTATCCTATTCTGTTGTTGTGATTTCATGAGACTCTTATGTTTTGCTTGTATGTTTTGTACTTCTGTGGTAGATGCCAAACAGTTGCTTTAGTTAGTGTACACTGCCTTGAGATGTACCATTAATCATTAAAGTGTTTATACATACATAAATGCTCTATACGCTCTGCCAAAGCGGCCAACCACACCCCGCCGGCATCGAACATGCAGTCAGATGCAACGCAAATGCAATCTTTTGATTGCGCAAGTGTGTGAACTTGCTAGAAGCCTGAGCTAATGACGTATTTCTGGTTGAGGTCTCGCAGACGGATTTGACCTAATGTTGCGCAGAATCTGCTGAGACGTGTGTTTTTGGAGAACGGGGTTTGCTTTTCTCCCCTGTAACTACAGGTTTCCTCTTGACTTCTTCTTGTTTAACGGGATTTTATTTGATAAAAATGGAGGCTTGGTACATGGACAAGTCTTCTGAAGATAAAAGAAAACCACATAAACTAGATCCAAACCAACCGGTCACTTTGGACGAACTGAAGAAAATTGGGGTTTACTATTGGAAGGTATACAGTACACAGTAGATTTAAGGTGCTGCTGCGTTGGGTGTAGTTAGATATGAATTGAGTACTACACATAATAGTATGTAGAAAAAGAAAAAATAAACGTCACTGTAAAGTACCCGAGAGAATGAAAGTTATGCAGTCGATAATAATATAATCCACTTGTTTTGAAATGTCTTTGCATGGGGAGAAGAACAATGCATGTTGTTGTTAGGTCACGCGGGTGTGTTAGGCATTACGTTTATATTACATATCGACCGGGTTAGCTGACGGTCAGCCATAGTGGCAAGACAGTAAAAATTGTGTTTTAGCTGTGTCTAATGTTTTTATTATAAAAATATGTTTAGATTTAAAAATATAGCTGAGGTAGACCGCTAACAGATATAAAAGCGCAAGGATTTCTCTAAATTCCTCAGCGGCAACGCCTTTAAAAATGAAGTGTAACAGATTTGTGAAAATAAATACATTATAATAATTATTAATGATTATACTTGAAGGACAGTGTTATTCTTACGTTGCCTGTTTGCCTTCTTGGTTTAGAATACCAAGCACAGCTTATGTGAAATGAAAGGTGTAGTTGTTTATTTTGTACAATCGTGCAGAACTGAGCTTTAGATCCATCCGGGTGGCAACTGTTGTCTTTTCTCCTTTTCCCTCCCAGTTAAATGCTGACATGTATGAGACTGACCCAGAGCTGCAAAAGATCCGCCTTGAGAAAGGCTATTCGTATATGGACATCATCACTATACACAAGGAGAAGCTTCCAAATTACGAGGAAAAGGTAGACCGGTCCATATTCGTTTCCTTTGATATTTTATAGGCCATATTATTTTCATAACTTCCCAGAATAATCAGTTTATTAGATCAATTATATCAGGCTGTGGTAAAGTTAGTCACATCATTCTAAGGTGTTGATAAGAATCATGAAGAATAGCAAGAATGTGTTATAGCTACAGTACCTTGGATAGAGATAGAGGATTGTCACCCAGTACATGGAGTAGCTGTAAAGGCTTAACAAACCCTTTCCTGTACAAAATGTGATCCATTTTGTTCCTTACAAATAAACGTCAGCTTAAGTTTTATTTTTTGTGTAAAATGTTAAAATCGTTGTATTGTCACCTTTTGGATATGCACCATTTGGCTTAGACATAGAGCAGCTTTTAGAAGGCTGAATCTGCTGTGCTTTAAAAAGGAAAGCTTGCAATGTGATGAAATATTTATCCTTCAACATACTGAAAACTGAAAAACATACTGAAAATACAACAAAATTGAAAAATCTACAGAACTGCAGAACAAAATCAAAATGCACTTTTGTGTTGTTAATGCCAGTAAAAAAAAAATCCATACACCATTGCGTTTGGGAACATTCACGATTATTATAATGAGGTATTAGGTGGAAGTTTAAAAATATGAGCCATGACTGATGAAAGAAATATTTAGTAGTTTTAGTAAGAACATTAAAACAACTGGCTGATCAGAATACCTAAATAGGCATATGAGGACAGTAAAAAGTTAGGCAGACAGAACCCTGTGGGACACCAAAAACAGCAGGAGTGACACATGGCCTTGTCTGAATCACTGTCCTTACAGAAACTGTGTATCAGTGTATTTTGCTACTGTATTTTTTTTCTCAGCTGCAAATATTTTATGAAGAACACCTTCATCTGGATGATGAGATTCGATATATACTAGAAGGAAGTGCTTACTTTGATGTAAGAGACAAATATGACAGATGGATAAGGATTGCCATGATGAAAGGAGACATGATTACATTACCAGCAGGAATATATCACAGATTCACAGTGGATGAAAATGTATGTATTATATGAACGTATTCAGTTTTTAAAAAAGTCATTTTTGCTTGGCCTTAGACAATAGAGTAGTGCAAGGCTGTTATATATTTTAATTGTAGATTCTAATCCTTTTATTCTTCTTAATATGTCTTCCCTTTTTTACTGAGTGCTGCTGACCTGTTTTGCAATTGAATTTCAAGGTATTCATGACATGGATTGATAGGCCATAGACATAGCCATAGAAGACAAGAGAAGACAGAATCATAGAAGACAGAAAGTGTCCTCACTAGTGGCATCACTGTGTGGTACAGCAGTACTGCCATGCATGACAGAGATGCACTACAAAGGGTTGTGATAACGGCACAGATTATTATAGGATGTGATTCACCATCAATCGGTGAGATTCACAACATCCACTGTCGCAATAAAGCCCAATCCATCATTCAGGATCCCAGCCATCCCGGCCACAAACTGTTCGCCCCCCTGCAGTCTGGCAAGTGGTACCGCACTGTTAAAGCAAGGACCACAGACTCAAGAGCTTCTATCCCACTGCAGTGTGCATCCTCAACAGCCAATTTTAGTGCCTAAATACATATCTGCAGAATGCACTTTCTGCGTGGTCTACCATGTTTCTTTGGTCTCACTACTACATATTTATTTTTCTACAAAATATTTATTGTTCCCGTTGTCTACATTGTGTGGTGTTGTCTGTTGTACTGTGTATGTCTCGAGATTAAGAATTCCAATGTATGTGTACATATGGCAATAAACTACTCTACTCTTACTCTTCATGATATTTAGCTCTTTTAACATCTACTCTTGATAATAACTCTACTGTTATATACGGTAGAGTATATATGTTCAGTATTTGTTACCCAGACACTCGTTTAACAGAATGTACAGCATTTATGTGCTTGACACTTAATTAATTAATTATTCACTAAAACTTGTCTTAGCATGCGCAGTTGTGTTTCTTCTTTTGGTTTTGGAAATTTAGCAATCCATATACATTGTGGTATAGTAATATTTGAAGAATATTTTACAACATCAGGGATCAGTGTAGAATACATGCACTTTAATGCTACTGTAGTGATCAAAAGAATTTCAGAAAAGAATGTCTGTTTAAATAATGTATGAGACTAAGGAATAATTCTTTTTTTGTTTATATTATTTATTTAAGTTTTGAAAATTTTACAAACTGCTCATCTCATACTGCCTTTTATTCTATATTTTAAGCTTAAGTTGTCTTTAACACTTGACTACTATTGTAGAGGCAATGCCATTATATTTATTAGCACTTCGCTATTTTGTAAAGTAACAATAGCAGTGCAAGTGCTCTTGCAGTCCAAAACTGAGTTATCATGAATAAAATGTTGTACAATATGTTAGTATTGGAGAATATACCATTGTTACCCTGTATATGACATGTCATTTAGTTAGAGAGCAACATTTAAATAAGTTTGCAAAAATCAAAATGTTATCTAGGTGGAACAGAATTACTGTAATTGCTCTTTAACCCTTTTTTTTCTCGTCTCTCCTAGAATTACACAAAAGCAATGAGACTGTTTGTTGGGGAGCCTGTGTGGAAAGCATACAATCGCCCAGCTGATGATTTTGATGTTCGGAAACAATATGTCAGTTTTGTCAAAAGTGCCTAAAATGACTGAGATTTGGATGTCACATTTGACTTTCTAGAAATGCCTTAATAGAAGAGGGTGAAGATGAGAAAATAATATGGCAGAGCATAAACAGTCAGATTGATGTTTTCCTGCATGTGGTTTGTTAGGGCCTTGGAGGGGATTTACACTGACAGTTGTTTGCTACATGCATAGCAATAAGCATTGCAGAGCAATCTCCTGTTACCTTTACAGAAAACTACTAAACTATATGCAACATTGGACAAATTAAAAATATTGCCACACTGGTCAAAGGTGTAATGTTGTTAAGATACGTTTATATTTGGAAGGTAGATTAAAATGTATGCAGTTTCTGATTTATAAATGAAATACTAACATAATTATACTACATATGGTTGAAATCACGCACAATGCTTGGATAACTTAAATATATTCTAGGACGTTATTTGTTCAAAATAGTATTATCTTACTACCAGATGGGCTAGATGGGTCGAATGGCCTTCTCTTCTTTGTAACCTTTCTTACTCCTGGTTTCCACTTTGGCACCAGAAGTATGTTTTAAGGTTTGCAAACAAACACTGCTGTAGTCAGAATTTTTTTATATTAAGACATTATATGTGCCTTCAATTATTTTAATTAATATAGTCAAAGAACACTGGACTTTTAAAATACCTTCAATCAACAGAATTTCAGATTACTTTTGGAAATTGTATTACTCTTGCTGAGTAAATAAAAATATAAAAACACGCAGCCTGTGCTTTTTTGTATCACTACATAAAAACATATCGAATCAGAAACATATGATAGGAATAGGTGAAAAATGTTCTTCAGATAAGCCTGTAAATGCATATTAATTCTGTGGAGTAAAACATAGTGAAACTAAGAAAGACAACTCCAGATAGGTTTGCTAAATTGGTTTCCAATTTTTAATTATTGTGATGTGCCCAGTTTCAGTTTATAAGTGGAAGACTCTGAACTGTCTTAGTTAAGACAGCTCAACCGTTTTATACTCACCTTGTTTGAATGTTTCTTCTAACTTTTTGTGTTTTGTAAACATGTTAGATAGATAAAGTTTGGTTATTAGTAAATTCAAATTTTCGTATTTTCCCATTTTAGTGAAAGTGTTGTTTCTTTGTACTGCTTCTTATAATTTCTGAATACCTGTGGGTAACGGCCATAGTCTTCCACAGCACAGCAAGGAATGTGAAGAAATGCAAATGGAGATGTATTGAAATTGAAATAGTTTTTCTCATCACTACCTTACTTTTTCGGTAGCTTTTTTTACTTATAACTTGATCATGTGTTTATCTTATATACTATACATTTTAAGATAGTATAAATGCCTCAAATAGTTTGTTCTACTTAAGTGATGATTTGTTTTTTGACTTTTTTAAATAGTGTAGTATAGTGTAGAAATATATGTATGGTATGGAAAAAAGCGTAAAGGATCCGATTATTTAAATTATTTAACTTAATTAAAATTAAATTGGTTTATGTAAAATACTTTCTGCCAATTTCCCAAAGAGCAGTGTGCAAATTGAGATACAAAATATGATGCCCAGCACTGATGTTTTAACTCATCCATTAATATATTCATGTATTATAATGTATAATGTCCATTAATGTAGACTTTGCAACAGTTAACATAAACAGAAGCTATAGATGAAAAGTAATTTAACCGTGTCGTATTTAAAACATGTCCTGTCCCTGGAGGGGCCGCGGGCCAGGCCTCCACCCTCCCGCTTGCCCTGCGCTCGTTGCCGAGGACGCAGGATATTCGGAACACCTGGCCGTGGTGAGAAGTCACAAAGTATTGGGTACTCGGGGTTATTTAACCTCTGCTTAGCTTCTGGGCAATCTGGCTTTGAGTTACCCCCGAACTACCACCCGATGTTTCCCAGTGGAGTCCTCCCTGTTTCCCTCCCTGCCTGCCTGGACTTTTCCCAGTTGTTTCTCTGTTTCCTGACCCGCCCGGACTCTGGCTAGGAAACCAGAACTTTCCAGAACTGATCCAGTTCGCTGATGGAGGCAGTGAGGCTGAGGTACCGCACCAGATCCGGTCTCCTGTGGGTCCAGAGCACGAGCGAATCCGCTTGGCCTGGTTGTTGGCGTAGTCCCAGTTGACTGCCTTGGAGATGAGCGTCCCGCCTGGCTCCAGGTACGGCCCCTTCAGCCTTGCCTGGCACTCTGGATTACAGCACAGCTCCCGGCCCTGGTGCTTCTCCCCGTCCTCGCCCTGGTTCTGATCCTGGTTCTGGGCGTGCTGTTCAGGTTCAGCCAGGTCCAGGGCACGGTTTCTGTAACCCGTCCTGACAGCACACTCCTGGTTTGGTCTCTTTGTCTTGGTCTCAGTATCCTGCACTGATCCATGCCAGATCCAGTCCAGGGTGCGCCTTTGGTAAATCCTCTTAGCCCAGTTCCTGGCACATTCCCAGTAGACCGCCCCTACGACCTGTGTCCTGTCCTGCCCAGTACCAAATGCAGATCCTCCAGCCCTATGTCCTGAACTGCACTCCAGGCACGTGTCCTGCCAGCCTGCTCACTTCCCGATGGAACCTGCCACAGCCTACTAGCGCCATTGCCTATTCTGTGTCCCGATCTTTCCCTGGGGCTCTGCTTTGGATGCGGTCCTCTGTAGGCACACGACTCGGTCTGGCCCAGGGCAAGTCTTCTCTAGTCGGTGCTGACAGCACACGTTATGGCATGGTCTGCGATTTGTACTCTGCATTGTTTCCATTTGAACTGTGTTGTATTCATGTTACGCCGAGTATATATTTGCACCAATGTCTTCAGAACCTATAATTTCTAAATTCTGATTTGTACAAAGTTACAGACGTTGTAACAGAACTTACAAACAAGAGGAGACTATCTGGCCAGTCTACCCTGTTTAACTATAAAAACTCCTAACATTTTGCTTGCCATTTTACCGCTTTCCCACATTGTCTAAATGTAAATGATGTGTCAACAGAAACACAATCATTGTCACGAACAGAGCTTTTATCTCCGTTTTTCCCATTTTGTATTTATAGTCTATTTTTGCTACCTGCATGCAGTTTATATTAAATGTTACCTTCCAGGTGTTGGACCACTCTGGAATTTTATCTTTTATTAACTTCATTTGCTGCACCTACAGGGTTTACTAAACTTTAGCTAGATTACTAACTATATTAGAACATAGATTGATTATATAAATTAGGAAGAGCAGCAGTCCAAGTACAGATCCTTGTGATGATCTGCTAATAACATCACCTCAATTTGTGCATTCACCCTCATCTGTACACACTTTCTATTAACCAGTTCTCAATCCAAACACATATCGTGTTGCAGGGTGATTTGGCTGCTGGCTAATTTAGTTATAATAATTCCATGATCTTACATAATGGAAGTTAGGCTTTTTGGTATGTATTTACTTGGTTCTTTTTTGTGACCCTTCTTTCATGGATGAGCACTACCTTCTCTAGTCTATGGGAACAAAATGAAAATTCAACCAAAAGACATTGATTGCTGTAAGAATATATGGAACTAATGTCGTTTCATGATTCATCACCTTGATGTTCCTAATGTTATATTGCCCTCTGGTGGCTTTAGTTAAGAGCACATGCAGAAAAGCTATATTCTTCAAGCTCTATTTGCATTTGAGAAGGCACTTGTTTTAGTCAGATCTGTCTGGGTACTGTTCATGCTTTTAATGAAAGACATTTTCAGATGGAAAAAAACAGAATGTAGCCAGTTTAAATTTCAAGAAATGACCAAACTGGATATGTATGCAGTTTTATACATATCCTGGAACACACAGAGGTTAATTCCACTTTGAAAAGAAAGAAAAAAAACACATTTTGGTGTGGGGTATGAGGGAATAGGAGGCAAACAAATAGGTAAGAGAAACAAAAAATGAGAAAAGAAGTAAGGGAAAGTGAAAAAGATTTAAAAGAAATCAATTTACATTATATGATTTGATGTCTACATCCCTCTGTCTTCAGTGAGATGTAAATATACAATTTGTTTTAATAATCTGAAATCTGTGAAACATATCTCTCTAATGCTGCACATATTCACCACATTTTCAAGACTGGTCGTCTTGAATGTTTAATTTTAAGATAGGCTTGGTCGTCTATCCAAGTTTAATTTGGATAAACTAGCCCCCCTTAAAACTCCCACAGTTTAATTCAAGTGCTCCTCTCCATGGTATCCACCTGAACTTTGCTCTTTGAGACAAACTGAACGGTGACTGGAGCGCTTATTAAACAATCTTGGCTTAGTGGTTCACACTCAGGCTGATAATGAACTATAGTCTAAAGAGCTGCTCTAGCTTCTGCCAGATCCTCCTATATCTCAGACACAATCAGCTCAAGACTAGGAAATCATAAAGTGCTCTTCTCTGTTATGAACAAGCTCACTAGACGCCCTGACAACTCTGCTCTCGCTTCCACCCCTGACCTCTGTCTTAAATTTGTGCAACAATTTCAATCCAAGATTGGTGCTACAAATCTACAATTACCCAAATCAAGCCTTAGCTTCGTACTGGATTTGGACAACTATTTGAGCCGTGGCTTTTTCGGTGACATTCCCGCCGTACCAGATATTTCTGAAGTTATCTTAGTTAATTCAGATCAAATTACAAAAAGTATTAACAACTTCTTGTTGCCTAGATCCCATCCTCATCTCTTTACTGAAGCTTGCCTGCCAGCCATCTACCTGTTAATTGTCAACGTCATTCACAGTTTCCTTTCCTTGGGTTGTGTGGTTTCGACCATTTTAAAAACTGCATCACTCCTATACTAAAATTGAATTGGATTCTGATATAATGATGACCCATATCTAATTTACCATTTCTTTCTAAGGTTTTAGAACATCAGTTACAGGCTCGAAATGATAGTTAATAATCTGTTCTAACCCTTTCTGTCCGGTTTGTGCTCTAATCATAGCACTGAAACTGCTTTGTCAGTATTGGGATTGATTTGTTATTGCGTCTGACTCTGGGGCTCTAAGTATCCTTATGCTCATTGCTCTTAGTGTGGATTTTAATACAGTAGATCACTCAGTGTTGATTAATGGCATGCAAACATTCTATCAATGGTACTGTCTTTAATTGGTTCTGCTCTTATCTGACAGGCAACATTTTGTTTTCCTTGGTTCCCATAAATCCCTCAGGGCCCCAGTCTATCACTGTGTGCCACAGGGTTCAGTCTTGGGCCCTTTGCTTTTTTATTATTCACATACTTTCTCTTGGTCTTGGTCAGGACCCGAGGTCCTGACTCCCTGTGGTCATTAAAAATGCCAGGGCGTTTCTCGAAAAGAGTAGGGGTGTAACCCCGGAGTCCTGACCAAATTTCCCTTTGGCCCTTACCAATCATGGCCTCCTAATAATCCCCATCTCTGAATTGGCTTCATTACTCTGTTCTCCTCCCCACTGAGAACTGATGTGTGGTGAGTGTTCTGGTGCACTGTAGCTGCCGTCGCGTCATCCAGCTGGGGCTGGAGGGGAGTCCCCATTAGCTGTAAAGTGCTTTGAGTGGAGTGTCCAGAAAAGCGCTAAATAAGTGTAAGCAATTATTATAATATGCAAACATGGTCTTTAGTTTCATTGTTACGCAGATGATACTAGGATTTTTATAAAAAAGTTTCCCCTCTATGTCAGTTATCTCTCATTTGTGTGACATCAAGCTCTTGTTGACATTAAATACCCTGAAGCTAAATGGCGACAAGACAGAAATTATATGGGTGGGCAGGAACTGTTAGGTGGAAAAGCTGGAGTTTCACAGTAATGGATGGCTTTTCCATGTAGGAGTCAGCTGTTGTCAGGAATCTGGGAGTCACAGTTGATCCTCTCCTGTCTTTTAAGATCCATGTAAAAAAATTGATTAACCTTCCATTTTCAAGGAATTGTTTCCCAGATGTAAAACACTTTAGCCACTAGTTGTCACTACTCATTCTCTTTACCTTATCTTAGACATCTGCTCTCTTCCTTATTTAACTCCCTTTACCAGCAGAAGGCACAGCCAAAACTTTTTATTTTTCCTTCTTTTTCAGCATGGAATTATCATCTGTGTATTCCTCTGCATTTCACATACTTAAGAAGCTTGCCACTTCATCTTCACATACAAATTACTTGCCTATGTAGTCTTGTGGCTGGAAAATCAGTCATAAGAAAACTAAATTTGGGGTGGAAGGAAACCTGCTACAATGTTGTTGGTTATTTGTTACTGATGTTTAAACCAAAACTAAACCTTCAACAAAACAGAAAATTCAATATGTAGTTTTATTTAAAGTTGTATCTAATTTTCTTTTGTATATCTTTTTAAAGTTAATTTTACATTTGTAGTGAAAGCTAAACTGTTGCATCAGCAAGAAAAGCAATAAGTAAAAATGACAATCTATTTTTTGTAGCTGTGAGTTATGCCTCATGTTTGGCATTAGAGCTGGGTATTACCATTTTATCACTGATGTGGAAGTTTCAAAACTGGATAAAAACAGGAAGGCTGGAGAACAAGAAAAATAGGTTAAGGATCAGTAAATTTTAATTAGAAATACAGGTAAGTAATTCAAAGCAATAAAGTACAGCACACACGTGTCACCAGACCAACTGTGTCAACAGCCACATGCTGGTTACAACAGTGACAAACTCCTAAAAGTGTTCATGTTAAATCATTTTCAAACATAAAATTAAATACCATTTTTTTCTAAAATTATACATATGATTATTTTCCCTATTCATGTATTTACATTTTTATATTAAACTTTATTTTACATTCCACTTTTCAACATGGTGACCAAAGCCTTCGAAAGCAGCAACGCTCTAGACAAGCTTGAGACACTGCGTGTTAAAACTGTCTCCTTCTCTGCAAGCCACCGATTCCAGCAGAGCCTGCTTCTTCTGCATGCTGCGGGATGACTCTAGCTCATACATGGTGGTCAGGTTAAACAGAACGCTCTCATGGAGGTAGTGAGCGGGATCCTGCTGCACTAATCCCTCCAATTGCTTCAGGGAGTCCTTTAATTTGCCCAAATACAGCAGGCAGACTGCAGCGTTGTTGTGAGCCTACAAACAAGAAATAGAGCGAAACGTTACAGATTCTTTTCCCATTGTTTCAAAGTGTCTATTCTGTTATGCCTTTTGTTGTTCGGCACCTGAAAATGCAAGTGTACAATATTTACTTGAAATATTACACTGGAATTCTCCACCTCTGTTCACCGTATTTGACTGCGGGGGGAAAAAAGCAGACGGGTTGGTGTCGCACAGCAGGGGAGTTCTGTGCAGCAGTGAGCACAGACTGAATGCATACAGGGGAAGCATCTTCATTATGAAACGGCAGTACGCTAATACATTCATTAGGATGTTATCTGGAACACTTGGCTTTTTGATTCCAAAAACCTCTTCTACCGTGACAGTATATAAATGCATATATAAAAGGCACAGTAAGAACTCCAGGTGTGAAACTGCCAAGAGCTTATTCCAAACTTCCCATAACCATTTTTTTCACTGCTTGACATCACTCCATTTCTGCGGTTTACCTTGTCACACAATGGAAATACTTCTATAAGATGTTTCTTTCACAATAAAGACTTTGCAGTATTCATTCTTATGCAAAGACTGGAGCACAGTGCCTTCCCTATAAGCCCTTTAAAGTGAAGCTGCAAAAGCTCTCCCACAGGATTCTGCTTTAAAAAAACACCATTAAAACCCGAAATTCTGTATCAAGGTAAAAATATGTTGAAATAGGACAGACAGTAATTCTGAATGTATCAATTATAGGATATACTTAAAAGGCATTCTCACTACTCCAAGAAACTTTAAAACATACATCTGCCATATAAGTTACCATATGACTTCATATTCTATCACAGTACTTTTTATCATTCTGAACCTCATCTCTGAATGATTTAAAAATATGCAAACTCGTCTTAACCAAAGGGTGCTTCAAGCTTCCTTGCAGAACTATCCATGATATATCATTGACTGATCTGCAGCTACAGAAAGTGATTGGTTGCTAATAAGAAACCTGGTCCTCAAAGACTAATAAAGATTGATTTATGATTCTGTTTATCCATGCAGTTAAATTAAGTGAAAATAAATGGGTCTTTATTATGGTGCAATGAGATAGGCATGCAGTAATCTGCTCTGTTTATCGCAGCTTGTTTCCTTTATTGGGAATATCTATTTGCTTGCACAGAAACCAAATAATCTCTTTGTCATTTAATCTACGTAAAGAGATGGAGATTGATAGGCATGCATGCTTTACAGGAAGGAACAATTTTAATAGCCAGCGAGAAGAAGATTTGTTTTACTACCACTTGATTTCTCTACTGCCAAACAAAATCTTGCAACATAGGTGTCACTACATAGCCCATGGAAGCGCAGAACATAATAATACCGTATTTTCGCTGTTTCAATTGTGTTCGAATTTAAGGACGTAGAGAAGGCCTCAATTGCCATCAGTCACTTGCTATTGTACTAAAGGTTGACATCAGAGTCAGAGATGAGTCACTGATGCATAGTGTTGGCAGCATGTCTTCCATACTCTAGATAAGATTTGTGTATTTCCAGATCATTCAAAAGTCAGCATCATAATGTGATGGGTCCTGGGCTCAATTCCGAACCTGGGCTATTGTCTGCATGGAGTTTTCTGTGTTTTTCACGTGTTCGCGTGGGTATTTTCTAGGTGCTCCGGTTTCCGCACACAGTCCAAAACATATTGGTAGGTTAACTGGCTTCTGGGAAAATTGCTCTTGGAGTGAGTGTGTGCATGTTTGTGTGTGTGTGTGCTGAACTGGAAGAAATGGATGGATGGAATATACTGTAGCTCATAGGATAGCACCGTCTAGCACAGACTTTAGGAGTGTTTATAAAAGTTGGTAGCCAAGGTCTGAAAAAGCAAAATAAAAGAGAATTAATACGCACCACAGGATTTTTTGGGTCAATTCTGAGAACCTCTGAAAATGATTTGTGTGCTTCTCCGTAGTTATTCTGACTTAAGTACACAAATGCCCTGAAACAGAAAAACAACCATCTACGCTTAAGGGCAAATATAAAACATTCATAAACTAATATATTAATACCTGGATATTTTACAATTGATTTTTGGAAAAATAAACATCATTAAGAACTTTAAAACTGCAGCTGTACCAGAACCGAATTCAATAACAACTGGAGGGCCCTTAAGCATTTTGTTCATTTCTCCCGCTCTTTATTTTTTTAATATAGTAATATAAAATGACTGCTAAACTGTGTCCTTAATTAGAGGCTAAAAGACCACAATTTAAATACCGCACTTATACTAGTGCAGCCAGCTTCATGTAAAAAAGTTATCAGTCAACAACTGTACAGTCCTCACATAACAGACTCCTATATGTTCCTTAAGACAAAGGGCAATTCAGAACAAAGTTTGGAAGCTAAAGGAAGATTTCACTTGGAAGGATACATGCAAATTGTGAATTGGTTACGATTTAAAGTACAGAATGTCAAGAACTAATGTTCTGACAGCCTCTCCAGATGTCTACACAACATAATTTTAAACACTGAAATGAACACACAGTCAAGCTGACAGACATACAACGGCATACATTACCTGTTCATTAAAACGAAAGTATTTTGGCTGGGGTCATCACCTTTCATTTTGAAAATGTTTTCAACATCTTGGAAATAGGTCTCTGCTGTTTTAATATCTCCTATCTAAAACACAAAAAAAATGTTAAAAAGCAATGACCTCAATGTACAAAGCAACGGTGTGTTTGAAAATACTATAAATCAAGATAAAATAATGTCCATCAAGCATATAGAAAGATGACGTTTTCATACTAAGATAATTATACAGATGTTTAACACTTGGCGAGAGTCATCTGAGCACCTGGATTTGTCTACTCACTTGACTTCAAGTTCAAATAACTCTATTATCAGAGGAGACTAGATTTAGGCGCTTTTCATGGGCTTTTTCAATGTGCCGAATTCACATCTGATGTATAGCTAGTCTGGCGTTTGTCTGTGATTCTGCCAATACAAAGATTCTATTTTACAAGGAAAAAAATCACTTGTGCACCTCACCTATTGTTGGAATATTTTTGTGCTTGCAAACACTTTAGGGTTGTTTTGTATACTGTGCTGCATAAAATCTGAGGTAAGGTATAACACACAATATCTTAAAATGAAATAACAGTGCCCTGCACCTCATATGTATATGTCAATATACTGTATAAGAGCTGTTGTTTTTTGTCAGTAAAATACTTCTATACATAAAATATCAACGATTGAAGTATCAATGCAATACTGATCATGTCCAAAATTAATGTTCCACTAATTAACACAGAAGAGGAGTGGTTTTAAGTATTTTACTCTCGTTCATACCTTCTTGAGTTTACCACGCATACAATCAACTGCTATATGATATAATTTAAGGGATACTAAAAAATGTATAAAATATAAAGACAAAAACGAACATTACATTCTTTGAATTAATTTAATTGATTACTGAAATCATATTAAATCATATTTTTTCTTAAGCAAAATATAGCCTACACAGAGGCCAAGTAGTCATTTTAACTTCAACCCACCTGAAGGAATATTCTGCCAATCCCACTTAACAGCTGAGGTTTCTGCTCTGGCTCATACTGTATGATTGAGTGGTACATATCCACTGCCAGCACATAATCCTATGGGAGTAGACAACACAGTAGAATTATACTCCAGGCAACGAGAACACATAAAAACTGACCATGCATTTCATTCCTCAAATCTAATCAAATACCTGTTTGGAAGCACACAAAATACAGCACACAAATAAAGTTGACGTGGTACATTTACACATTAAACAGAAAAATATAAAAGGTAGAGGATCAAACTGATTAACAGCGCATTTAGAGTACATAAAGGATGAGTGAAGGACAAGAAAGGTTAATGAACTCCTGGGCTCTTGCTTTTTCAAATGTACTTTTAGATGTGTAGTAAACATCTTTCCTGTCTTGTCAAACTAAGACTTCAACATCACTGGTGCAGGGTATTAATAACACAAACATATATGTATAAATATATTGTATAGTACACTGTTGATGTATTCTCATACATAAAAGTATTTTATTTGTCATATACAATATTGCTTTTAAAATGTAGTTTTAGTGATGGCAGATTTGTTTTTACAAAAATATCAAATAATTGTTATACATTTTATGGTAAAAAAAAACTATTCTAGCAAGCAAATTGTTTCATTATTATTTATTTTTAGGCGTCTCCTCCTTTTGATATAATTATTTATTGCTATTAAATCCATCCGTCCGTCCATTTTCACTCCGCTATTCCTGGTGAGGGTCGCGGTTGCAGCAGGCTGAGTAGATCAGCCCAGACTTCCCTGTCCCCAGCAACAGATTCCAGCTCCTCCTGGGGGGTCCCCAGGCGCTCCCAAGCCAGCCGAGAGATATAATCCCTGCAGCGTGTCCAGGGTCTGCCACAGGGTCTCCGCCCAGTGGGACGTGCCCTGAACAGCTCCAGCAGAAGCCGACCGGGAGGCATCCTTATAAGACGCCCAAACCACCTCAACTGGCTCCTCTCGATCTGGAGGAGCAGCGACTAACCTTTAGCTGCTATTTCTATGCCCATTTTTTGTATGATGTCCAGGGTGAATCAATGTTTTTCTTCTTATATCCAGCTTCCTTTTAGTGTTCATCAGTAAAGCACGCTATTGCAAGATTTAGAGCCACCTTTGTTTCACCTTACGCACAAGACTTTTTTCTCAAGACACCATGCGATTTCTTCCTACTGTACCATGGTAGTTCTGTCTGGGTGGCCTCAGACCAAAGAATGTTGTTAGAAAAACATTTTGTTTTACAAATGGCTGAAAGCCTGCCTGCGTTTTTAAATGATGTTAAATTAAATTATTCAAACAGGTTTTCAGTTTTATTACAGTTTCATTTTTAGATTTTTAGCAGATATGTGGTATTTGGGGATTGTATTCACTTCTGAAAGGTGTTTTCTTCTGGTCATTGGGTTATTGTTATCAAACCTATTATTATGAACATATTACTGCGGAATTATTGAAGTCAAATAATAATAATCTTACTCCCTCTAATTCACAGACTTTTCACCATAGCCCTCATAACAACTGGATTTTACAAATCAAATAACTCACAAAGTAAAACAGATCTCTGTCTCTATTAATAAAGAGTGCTTTGCAAAAATATTTAGATCCTTGCACAATTTTCACATTGTTTCTTTAAAGGAGAACTGCATTCCCAATTTCTCAAACAGGTTATTAAATCTTGGTAAGAAATTAAATGTCGATCCCACAAAATGTTATAAATTCCAAATTAAGCAGAAAATCAAGACAACTGAGCCATGAAATTAAGTACAAAATCAAGACAAGAAAGGACAAAAAACACAAAATTTGTGAAATGGTTGGCTATGTGGCCACATGGTGGCCATGTTGTCACAAAACACTGGTCTCGTCACGGGCAAGAGCGAGAGATCTTACAAATTGCTATGTGAAGTGACCCTTACTGCTCACTAGTCACTGTAATGACTAACGTAATGGGATGTACAAGTGAATACGTACAGGTTGTGCAGGAGACATTTCACCACAGAAATGTTCCCACGTGATCTTCAGTACATGAAGAGTTAACAAGTAGTGTTTTTCTGCATAACTGTCTCAAAGCCGAGACCAATATTTCTATTGGATTAAGAGAGATGTGTTCATAAGCCTGCTCCTTTACAATGTAATAGGGATCACCGGAAACGTTGCATCACCGGAAATGTTGCATCGTGCTGAACTGCAGACAATGACAGCACTATGGCGCTGTACATAACTGGAAATTATGTCTAGTTTCTGTAGTAAATTGGAGGTTTAACACGTTACTGTGTATATTTGACTTACATTGTGGTTTGAAATGCAATCGTCAATGCCAGTTCTTTCTAACCCCAAAATATAAAAATAGCATTGCAGTTCCCCTTTAAAGCTTGCAGTCACAACATGTTGAAACAACAATTAATATTTGTTATTTACACAACGTCCTCCACACATTTAAAGCAAAAAACTAAAAGAAGCAAATAGATCATTAACATGAAAGAAAAATGGAAAAGTCCCAACAGCAGAAGTATTCAATCCTTTTACCTTTTACTTTTTAAGTGCACAAATAGACCTCCATCTGTGGGCAATAATAGGAGTTCTCATATTTTAGAATAAAAACACCTGTTTCTGTGCGGTTCCTTGGTCAGGTAGTACATTTCAAACAAAATGGGAACATAGAAGGGTCTCAATCCATTTGCAAGGTACGATATTGAGCATCAAAAGAAACCACTTATATGGTTTATAAATTTATAAACCTGTCATTTTCTTGATAACTTTTTGCAGCCGGCGGGGTGACATTTTATTGAACATATGATACTCAGTAACGCATAGACGCTAGGACTGTGGATGCTGTGTCTACTCAACCACCTCCGATATTTTAAACAGGTCCACTGCCAAAGAGTGAACTTAATAAATCCTTCTGAAATACACTTAGAAGTTCAGAAAACAAGTGAGCTACAGTATCTTCACTTGATCATTTCTGATACAAATGGAAATGATCCTGGGATGAGAATAATAGTGGCAATGCCTGTGCCAGATAATTAATATGGTGCAAAACCTAAGAAAAGCGAGAAATGTCAGCCTTCACGTGGTCATGCTAAATGATGAGAAAGGCTTTTCACAGAAAAATGTTAAAATGCAAGAGGTTGAGGTTTATAAAATTCACTACAGGAGTGGAATCTGTCAAGTTTGACGGATGACATCATGGGATTGAAAAGCTTTCTGCTAACTCATGAACATGCAGAATTTGTTTGTAATTAGTTCTGCTAAGAAAAACAAATTCCATTCCATGTTCTCTGTTTCACTGGGTATTGAACACATTGTAAATAACTTCATTAGCAGGAATGCAAGGGTAAGAAACATTGTATTAGAGAAAATAGTAAAGCACAACCAAATGCTAAAGATTTTCTGTTACAGTTGGATATGCTTTATTTACTGTACTGTATGCGTTACAATCTAAGATGGGCACTCCCGTAATTTGGAAAAAATGGTACCTATGGACATAGATAAATTCCATAGTTGATTAATATCTGTGACCAATAGAGAATCTTCTGTGAAAATCACAAGCTAGTAGCGTTGGAAGCAACAGAAACTGTTTATCTGTGATGCAAGTATTACACCAGGTTGTGGTGTGGGATATATTGTATACTCTTGTAAAGCCTGAACAATCATGAGCCCATTCACTGACCTCTGAGCACTAGATGCCAACTTGTCTTATTCCATAAACGTAAAAAGGGGCATTCAGGGCATTATTCTCTCATTTTGTCATCTTGCAAGAAAGCTGTTGTTGCACAAGAAACATGAAGCATTCAAAGGCAAGCGGTAACATCAGGGAGAGACTTGTGTCTCCTCCAATCAGTGCCGAACCTCTGGTACAGGAACATGCAGCCTTTGACATGTTAAAATATAAATGATTTGCAGGCAGGTGGTTCAGAGGAGACTGCCTACATTTCCTTATTCTAAACTGAGCCTGGATGATTGGATTGTAGCTTTTGAATTAAGACATAAAATTTATGGGGACAATTTATGGAGACATTCTAAATGTATAGAAGAATACAGGTCTATAAAAACACAACTATGGCTTACAAGAGTAGGGTCTTTTTAAACAGCACAAGTTTAACACTTAAATTAATTCCATTCCTTCTGTGCATGATGTACAGTAAATTATGTCTAATCTGCATAAGGAAAAAAAAGGGTAGAAATGTTCCAAAACCCATCCTTTGCCTAATTTGAGTCCAAAGATACAGTTCGGAGCAATACAATTTCTACATGCCTTTTGTGTTCAAATATAAACATATGTAAATGTAAATGCATAGTATGGTGAGAGACGTTTGTGTTCACTGTCAGCAGTAGATGGCAGTCCAGTTCATTGTATTGTTCCACACTACAGGTACATAGGATAAGCAATTCTGACTCCGACTTGCTCTCACTGAGTAAGACAAAGAAATACTCTGATTAGCTTTATTACCAATGTTTATAAAGATATAAAGAATACATTTCCCAATGTTTCATCATATATGATCTGATCTTAGGATGGGATGCCAAAAAATAACATAAAACATTCCACAGTTCATGTCCATGTATAGGATTTTTGCAAGACACATGTATGAATTAACCCCAGAAAATTACTGAATAGTACAACACTGAATATACCTATTGTGCTACCAGTTCCTATGCTCCTTCTGATAGAAGATACATCAAAAAATAATTTCCAAAGCAAAATAATTTTCTTCTAAGCAAATTTAAAATATAAGCCATGCATTGCAAGTACCAAGTTCGTTATACTAGCATGTCTGAAACAACAAGAGGAAAAAAAAGATAACTCTTGTATATTTTAAAACAGTCATCCAGAAATCAGACAATGTTAGCTCTGCAGAATTGTTATTCTGACCTCAAACACTCTGTGACCTTCAGTATATGTTTCACCTTGTCTTTAGCTTAGGCTGAACTCATTTGAACATCTAAACCCTGTGGCTGCTGGAGAATAATACTAATGCTTTTCTCAAAAGTACTCAGTGGAGAAAGAACACCAGGATGGATTTAAGGCAGCTCTCATCAAACCAGGAGCGCTCGCATTGAAGTAGGGAGATGGAATGGCAGAGGAGATGGGAAAAGCTTCTTCAAATTTAATTTGACAAAAGTGCTGATTCATCTCTCCTGCAACGCATTTCCAAACAGATTAGCCCTTGATATCTCACTATCTTCCTCTTTTGCCTAATTAGATTCTTCTGCACTGAGCCTAAGCTAAGCTTCCCGAAGCCAAAGGGGCCTATACAGAGGAATATACGGTAGCTCTGCAGCTTACTGCCGCCCACGTACCTTCATCATTAGCAGACAGTTTGCCACGGAGTACATCACCCGGCACAGACGTGACCTCCACAGCTGAACAGAGGCTGCAGGAAACAAGAGCAGCTTGAGAGACTGTGCTGGTAAATTGCAGTCCTTTTTTCTAACCATCAATTATTGGTCTCAGAATAACAGAATTAAAGGGGGGAAAAAAACACACTTTCACTCATTAAGCCCCTGCTCATTTAGGAACTGTTAAGCCATTTTCTGCTCCATTCTCATCCTATACTAAAAAGAATAGATGGACTTTAACAAAGGGAAGGACTTCTTTTTTAAAGGGTAAGAGAGCATGAGGAGAGTTCAACAGCAGGAAAAGCTGAAAGTGGCTTGAAACAGCAATCAGACAAATCTCTAACTGAATGAACCATCAGAAAAATATATTATTCTGCAGCATCTCTTATGAAAACAGATAATTATATTTTCAAGAGTGATTTACATCAAGGTTTTATTGTGTTTCATCGTATCCATCTGAAACATATTTCACTTTTTTTAAAAAAAAGTATTTTTTAAAAGGAAAAGTTCACACAGAATAATTACGCTTAAAAGTGTTTAAGCTACCTGTCAGCTTACAGTTACACATACATAAAAAATACATAAAGATTCAAAATAGATAAAGTACTGTCAGCTTTTACTGGGACAAGCTGTTGCAATAAGAATACAACCCTGCAGATTGTGAGAGAAGACTGCACAAGAGCTGTTCTGTAAAAGGCTGCCCTGCTCTGAATTCACAGCAGCTTCTCTCATTTACAAGAATAATGACTCATAACTCCCCTGCTTCTAAGGAGAGAGTGGCACAGGAGGTCCATTCATTAGCCTTTCAAGCCTTTCACCTCTGGAGACCTGAGTCCAGATCCAGCTCAGGTCAAGAGTGAAAACCACTTGGTTTCAGGATAGTCTCCAGCGGACGTTTCCACATTACAAAACTAAAACACTAATTGTCATCAGACTCTCTTGAAGAAGGCGTGAGGAGAGAAAAGAAGGAATTCTTTATCAATCCTTAAGTGGACTAGAAGAGCAGTGCAATGTTTTTAAGGTGCTATACCAGAGACAATTCGCAAAAACAAAATCTTTCCATATATTGAAAAACCTAAACAGCTCACACTTCATTTGAGAAGAAAAAAATATTACATTTCCTTTGAAATACAAATTATCTTTATCATCTTGAGGCAAAATTGAGCTTGAAGGGTCTAATCCTATGGCTACCCACAATTGAATCTCACTGGATTTGTCTGTCCTGACTTCATGTCTTTAGGAGAAACATAAAAGACAAATTAACTCTACACATCGGATGGATACCATACCACTGATTCCAAAAAATACTAACCAACAAAATTGTAGCAAACGTAATGTATTAACACATTGATTTTGCAAATCTCAATATATTTGCAGATATCTATCTACACATTGCTGACCAATAAGCACTTCACAATCATGCCAGGAAAATGTATAGTTTAGAATAGCTGAGCAAGAGATTACGTTTTCTGTATGTAATTTATAACTGCTGCTATGGATAACCAGAATCACCTCCGCTCACCAAGTACATTTCATGTACAGTACTAGGAATTTACTCCGGGATAATTGGTGCTGCAAAAGCATTCAACATACAGTATACCAAACACAAACAAGACAATAGACATTATTAAGACATGCACATACAACTAGCAATTCTGGTAAAGCAAAAAGAAGCCCTAGTAAAGTAACTGTTCAAATATTGGTTGGTTCTGGTTTAAATAGACTGGTAGTATCTTCGTGAGGGAGGTTTATGAAAAACAGGTGGGAGGGGTCATCAGCAATCTTTCCTGCCCGCATCTTTGCTCTGAAATTGTACAAATCATCAAAGGAGATGACAGCAGGCAGATGACAGTCAATAATCCTCTCCTCAGAGCAAACAACACACTGCAGTTTTCCTTTGGAGCGGGCAGACATGTTGTCAAACCAAACAGCAACAGAGGCAGTTAGAATGCTCTCAATAATGGCTCTGTAAAATTGTATTAGAATTACCTGAGACACCAAAGTTCTTCAGTTGGCACAAATAGTGCATTGTTACTTTCTTTGGGATACTGGTAATATTCATGGCCCATTTAAGGGTATTAGAGATCATAATTCCCAAAAATGTAAAGGACTTCTCCACACAAAGAACCAAATCAGGGTGAGAGGTTTTGGAAAAATGTTGGGGAAAAAAACATTTCCATTGTTTTATGGCTAGTAAACTTCTGGTGGCTGTTATCACACCATGATACTAATCGACTCACCTCCCTCCTGCACACTGTCTCATCATCATTAGTGACGAGACCTACAAGTGTGATGTAACCTGCAAACGTAGTTTGATGAAAGAGTCGCTGGAGGTGCAGTCGTTGGTGTATAGGGAATAGAGTAATGGGGAAGGCACACTTCCTTGAGGTATACCAGAGTTCACAAACAGACAGTCTAACAAATAAGGGCCTAGCCTCACCCATTGCTTAATATCTATGAGAAGGTTGATAATCCACTTGCAGATGGAACATTCACCGTAAGAATGTATGATCAAGAAGGTTCTGGAATGATAGTAGTAAATGCAGACCTAAAATCCACAAAACACATTTTTGCATATGTGCCTGAGGATTCCAGATGTTGTCAAATGCAGTGAAGGCCTCATCATACACTGACCTGTTGCAACTATATGCAAACTTTAAAGGATTGAGATGTGAATCTGTTATAGTTTTGAGATAAGGAAGTATCCAATGGTTGAAAGTCTTCAGTATGATGGAAGTAAGAGCAACTGGTCATAAAGCTCTGTTTATGGCAAAATCTCTTGGATTTAGAAAGCAAAGAAACAAACCAAGGCTTTTGTACCACATATTTTCCACTGTATAACTACATTAAATTATTTTTTGAAAGAAGCCAGTATATTAACTTCAACAACATGATTTGTTAGAGAACCCCACAATTCTTTGTGTAAAAATCCCTTCCTTGTGTTCACACTTCCCAAAGTTTCCACTTGTGTGGAAACATTTGTTTAACTGTTCATCCTACAGAAATCCATAGTATTAATTTTATCAATGCCTTATAGGATTTTAAATCCTTGAATGATGTCCCCTCACTGTTTTTGTTGAGAAGATTCAATCCCATTGACCTGTCAGTCTAGAAAGGACATTCTTTTGAGTCCAGGACTGTATCTGGTCATCGTACTTTAGTCTAATTTCAAAGAAGGAATCGTGGTCAAAAGGGCATACAATATTCTAAGTGAGGTCTTAATAGTACATTGTACGATTTCAATGTAACAACTTTATTTAAATTCTACACTTCTAACTATACTGTACATCTTAACATTTTATTTGCTTTTTTATTTTTTGTTGCATTGCTCAGAGAAGGAAAATTATGTGTCAACAAAAAGGCTTAGGCTTTTGTATATGGAACTTAAGCTTGCATCTTATATTTGTAGTGTAGGTTTTCTCTGACTCCATTTAACACTATGCATTTTTACTACATTAAAAGTCAGACATTTCCCCATCTGAGTTCTGTGTACAATAAGTAATCTGAATTTAGTTTGCTACTCCTACACTGATCATCTGTGCACTTCACTAGTATACACTAATCCCTTGCTAGTCATTAGTGACAGTCATAAGTTTAATAATAATGAATAAATTAACAAACTAAAATGGCTCCTAAGTGTACATGAAAGGACAAAGTGTCCAGAGTCGCTAAGTGATCTAGATCCTTGATGAGCTAAGAAAAACAAACGGAAGTGCATGATAAGTTGCATGAAAGACCAAGTAATAGTGTTGTTTGGCATAAATGAATCTACAATTTGTACAATAAGGAAACGTAAGAAAGCTATCTGAGTGTAAAGGCAATGTCGCTTAAGGTCTTGTACAAGCCATGTGTCCCAATCTACATGGGAGTCATCACATCATTAAAGTAACAATTATGTCAGAAACACATTTAAAAACTTCACCATATTATTTCCAAAATATACTGTTTTTCTTTACTCTTATGTTATTGCTCTACTTTAAAATAGGTGAACCTCATTTTTACCCATAAGATCTTAAATTTACCAATTGCAAATTTACCTACCGCTAGGGTTCTCAAGGATGTGACTCTCGCGATGCAAGGGATTGCTGTACTGACTGTACTATAATCCTTATTATACACATAGATTAGGAAGAGCAGTGGCAGTGTACAAATCACACCAGATCAATCGAAGTTTATTTATCAAATGCACAACAATACGGCGTGCAACAGTAGTTGCTGGCAATGAAATGTCTTTTGATCAATTTGAGCATTCACCCATTACCTGTTTTCGATTAACCAATTTACAACACATATACATGCACTACCCCAGATACCAATGGTATTTAATTTAATAATGAATCTTTTGTGAAAAGCATTATCATAAAGTAAAGAAATATACAACAGTTAAAATATTACCCACCTTGCCTGTTCTCTTGCATTATGTTAATCATACTTCCATCTTCAGCCAAACCTTTTTCCAAATTATCCAAAATCTGTTGGAAACAAAAAAAAGTTTTGAACATGCTTCAGCATCATCAATTATATCTAATAAGTGGTTAACTGATGTTTCTCCATATAAAAACACCAATTATTTTTTCCCTTATTCTAATAAGAAACAACCAACTGATGTTACTACAGTATAACCAAATATAACACTGTATTCTTTGCATCTTCCTCTATGATGTTGTGATGCTATGCACAAAGTTTCACACTTGAACAACTACCAAAGAATGAGCACAGCTTTCACTTAGAAACTAAACATCTCCTGCTCATTGCACACCATCCCTCCACCAGCAGGAATACAGGTTACACTTAGCTACAACCAGCATTAACTTCATTTCCAGGCTACAAGTTTTCTCCTACACTTCAGGAGTTCTGATGATTTAGCCGTTTTAAACAACACATTTGATTTCTGCTGTTATAACCACATGTATTGCCAGAAAAACATTTTTGCGTGATGTGGACTTCTCAGTGTGGTGAACCAGTTCAAGTATTTAACCTTCAGTCTGTTCATCACAACTAGTTTCCATATTTTCTTCTTGTGGAACAGTAGGATCTCGATAATAGCCAAATTCACGTATAACCAAATCCGCCGCTATACCATCACATATTGTACTACAACATATAGATTGACATACTGTAAAGACATACTGACATACTGAAAAGACATACTGTTTGTAACCCTCCCTTACACGATAAGGACTAATACATTGGCTTTAAGTTAATGAAAAATACATTTATCAACAAAAACAAACAAGAGTAATCACAAACATCAGCCAAAATGAACAATGTGATTCCCTCATCTGTGTCCAGCCTGGGCTGTCTCTTCCTGCTTCTGGGATTATCATGCTGCACATTGAACAAATGGACAGTAAAACTGTGAGATAGCCTGTAAAGTCTTCTCCAACCTTTTATTTCCCACACCACTGACACAGACCCGGGAGTGTCTGTTACAATACAAGAACAACGCCACATTGACATGCAGATGCTGCAAAGTGGGTGCATGGGCTGGTAGCAGGGAGAGGCTCACTCATTAGCTATATTCGTTTCACAAAATGATCTTTCATGAATGAAAGTTGAGATTAACAGCCTTTAGCTTGGTTTCATCCTGCTCTGCTCTTCCTCTTTCCAAGACCCCATCGGCCAGACCACATGGTGGAAAAGCAAATATTAAATTTACAGATGTCAAGAGATTCTATAGTGTTGTATAAGCTTTCCACTATGACTGCAAGTCATGTCCAATTCAAACAACAACATTGAAATTGACAATTATCTAAAATATCAATGTAAAACTTCCACGACAGGAATTGAATGTATTTATAAAGCTGTGAAGGGTAAGGCTTAGTGAATCACCTGACATGCTATATCATCTTTGCATAAGAAAATCAGTCAGATTCAGTGCATGTGTGGATTGGGGTGTAAGGGATTCTCACTCATGTTAATAAAATTGAATTCTGGCTAATGACTCACCATCAGACAAATTACTTTCATACTATGCAAACGGTCAAGAGATTCTTGAGGCTTCCCAATGTACTGTGGAAGTTCTGCATGCAAGACACGCATTGAAAATGGAACCATTGAACCTGAAACACACACAAAGGAAAAAACAAGTAGTTTCTCAGTTAGAACTGATGGAAAACTGTGCAGCTATTTGTCTTAAAAGTATTCCCTTGTCTTACTGAAATTAGTTATTTGAACACCTCTGGAAGAACTTCAAACTGAAGCTGCTGCTGAACATAACTTATAAACAAGAGGAGGTCATTCAGCCCATCTAGCCTTTGGGGTTTTTAAGTAGCTAATAAATCCAAAGATCTCATCTAAGCTCTTTCTTGAAGAAGGTGTTTCAACACCATGATTGGGCAACTAGTAAGATATTTCCACAATCCTTTGTCTCTGGTTTGTTTTTCCATGTTGATTCTGAAAACATCCACAAAATTAATCAGAATTAATGCTGTTGAGAACATAAATACTTGAATCAGGCCTGCCCATAGTCTTCTTTGTTTAAGACTAAAAAATTCAGTTCTTTTAGCCAGAAAATGGAGGACATTTCTTTGAGCTCAGGAATATACAGTATCTGGTTTCTCTTTCTTGGATTGATTCAAGGGCAGCAATATATTTTTTGCATCATGGTGACAAAAAGTGTAAGCAATATCCAGAAATGAGGTCTTAAAGGCCCCTTGTACCATTTTAACATCATATCCCTCAATATAAATTCTGTACATTTACTATATATACAGTCAAAGCAATGTCAAGATGCCAATTGTTTGCTTTACAAACTGATTAAATGAATATAAGTAAAAAGTCAAGTTTAAAATAAGGAATAAATTCAGATACATTTTTCTTAGGAAGTAAATTAAGTAGTCTCGATGTTAAATTGATTATGATCATGTACTTGCATATAATTTTGGGGAGAACTATAGCTATATACAGTATCTGCAGTTCTTATTTTTTTTAAAATGATTCAACAGAAACAGAAATCTACAAGTGGACGGCTGTACTCACAAGTAAAAACAGACATTTTTGATCAGGAGACATGCTTGCTGAAACACTGATCCTTAGAAGTGTATTTTAAAACTACAAACCATATTTATTTTAAAAGATGTGGATTAAAGGTACAGAGGGAGCCTTACACAAGCTACACAAACAAAGGCAGACACACATCTTCTGAGACAGGAAAAAACATATTTGAGTAATAGTAGAAAGCAGTATAAATGTATTACAAAATACTATATATTCAATTTGTTGGTTCTGTGTCCTTCCCACTGCATGTGTCACTTGAGTAATGCATAACTAGAGTAATGACTGTACTCATAAACCCATCCTGGGAAACAAGCTAGATAACTGACACTCTCTGAATGTCCATGAATGTCCATGTTGTGTTTTATATACACTGCATGTATATAAAACACAACAAAGAAGTTAAGACCTTAATTAAAAATTTGCTTAAAAGAAAAAAAATGGTTTTATTTGATTTATTGCTATCTAAATGTTGACTTTCAAGTAGCTTTTTCGCTTTTCCAGATCCACACTAGGGTAAATTTGCAATGTCTTAAACTGAAACCTGACATTAAGTGCCGAGTACTGGTAGCTTGTGATTCCCAGCAGAAACTGTTAGACAGCAACAAGAGGAGATCCCTAAAAACTTTCTTAAATCCTATCCTTAATGGGCTGCTTCTGATACATTTTCAAAACAATACAGGTTGCTCTATCCTCACCTCGTCGTCCAGGATACACATTTGGATAGTATTCATAGTACAGGTCTGGCTGGTCCAGGTTACCAAAAGGCTCAAACTCCATCTCGGCATTATGGAAAAGGCTTAGCTTCGTCAGCAATGCTAGTCGCACAAACCAAAGCTGCAAAACAAGAGAGGAGAGTTTTCAGCTGTTTCTTACCAAACATTGTATGATTGCCAAGACAACACATTTGTCAACTGGTTCAATACCAATAAAGAGATTGAAATTTAGACTCTACTTTCTATAAGATGCTAACAAGCACGTTCTTTTGTTGTCTTATAGCAAGTGGAATTTTGATCTGCAATGGTATGAACCATGTCACACAGTTTTTACACCATGTTGATTATCAAACTTGTATAGAAATGAACTGTTTTCCCTTAATGGCACTGCTTCATGGCTGACATTTGTCCCTTCAGATAATTAGTTATATGTGGTGTTAAACTCCGGGAAACAACAAATAAAATAAAATTTGGGAGAAATTTATTTGGGAGAAGCAAATCTTCTGTTTGTTTCCCTAAAAGTGATGAAAGCAATGGAGCAAATTTTATGCCTAAGGCTCATCATAACACATTGTGTTATTTAAGAAAATGCGCTATAGAAAGTAAAGGTTATTTTTTTTATTATTATTATTCAAAGGGACATTTATCATGCTTCTTAACCTTCAAACCTTATGTGATGCATAACTGTTAAGTCACAACAGTATTATATTGAAATATGGTAAAAAAAACAATGTATCATTTGTTTACAAGGATTAGTAGTATGGTGTGAGATTTAACAATGTTATTAAAAGAGAAATTAGAATAGTTTTCCATTCTTCTTCCCTTCATTCATATCTTTTGCCTTAATTTTTAATAAGAAATTATACTTTGATTTAAATTTGGCTTTATTTCAAACATTTGCTGTAGTGTTAACCATAATTAAAGCTCCATATTGCAATTTGACACACTTTGAAGATTTGATATATTCAATTTCCTTATCAAAAGGTACATAAAATTAGAATTTTAAAAAGAACATTAGGACCAGTTGCGCCCCTCATAGAGCTTTTAACACAGCAGGTTTTATTTCATTTTAAGGAAGACAAAAAATAAACTGATGGAGTCTACACAAATTTAACACTGATTGCGCTCCATTAAAGTCCTTGCATATGATAACGAATACTGTGAATCCAAAAGTTAGTTATTTAAATGGGATAAGGTAATCAAAGAAGCATATCTATACATCAGGCTATTTTTTAGAATCGATTGAATACTGTTGGTGGGAATACTGTCTCTGGTAGAGAGGTCCAGATTGAGACAACTAGAGCATCAAACCCAGCAGTGTGCTGTCACTTTAATTAGTTTTCAAATGACACTCAATTTTCAGATGATTTTGACATCACATCATAAATACAAGAACTCTGGAGGCAAACAAGTCCCTTTCCCTTATTAAAAAAAGTTTGACCATGTTCATTCTCATAAGAAACTTCTGTGCGGAGAGGGGAGTGGGTATTCATGTATCTTTAGGAATTTCTACAATCTGTATTATGATAGCTAGCTTCATAAAAAGAGCCTTCTGACACTGAATTCGTTCAATACAACATGTACAGTAGAGGCAGAAAACTGACCAGAGGAATAACATCAGAGGACAGCTGCAACACATGCTGACAGGATTCTTATAAAATACCTCGATGTTGACACAAGAGACAAAGCAAGCAAAACACCAAAGTTTGATTTGCCATAAGCTGTCGCCTTTCCAAGTGGGATCTATGAAATGTGATGTATGAGAGGCAAACCTACCTGCAGGGAGTCTGTAGTGTGGCTGGTTGGCTGGCCACTCTTCCCATACCCTTGACCATGAGCAGTCAGCAGCCTCCCAGTCAGGTCAACAGCCGCCCTCCAGTTCTTTGTGCTCTTGTTACGGAGTGGACAAGGTGAAGAATAAATGAACCCATTAAACGAACAGCTGCTTATTTGGCTGCGAGCAGGTATAGTCAAGCTACCCATCAGTAATAATGACAAGGTCAGTTCAGCTATTCTGTTTTAACTGCAGTGTCATTTATCAAGGCGATCTCTGTAATTAGGCAACACTTTTAACCAAGCATAAAATATAATTTAACAAACAGAAACCCCTTTTTGAATAGCTAGGATGGCTGGGCCGCTGTGGAACCCTGTTATCGGCTTCCATTCTCCTATCTCGCATTCCTGTGGAGTGCTAATGTCTCCAGCGCACAGTTCCCTATCACTGCATCTCTTGCTTCTAAATCTTCATTAAGAAGGGAAATGAAGCTTAAAACGATGGGCAAGAAAATGTGCAAAAGCAGCTGCCGTTACTGAAACAGAACATAAAAAGTCAATGTAACTGTAAATTTTGTACCTTTATTGTATTTTGGAATGCCATGAACAAAACAAAAAAGTCCATAAATAATACATTTAATGCTTTTAGCTTACATTTTATGTTTCTACACATATACTGCATTTTTATATACAGAAATACATCATAAAATGTACCCTGACATTTCTTATGCAGCAAGTCAGAGCATCTATCAGTTAAAAAATCTTCCATTCTGTAAGAAAAAGATAAAACCTCCAGATGAAATGGATATCTCTGATAGAGATCTAAAATGTATCCTGAACAGACTTCACTGAACCTAACTGAAATTATTTTACAAATGTCCTATTTGAAGATGTACAACTTTAACTACCCTGGGTTTGACGATAAGTAATGGGCAAATAACAAACACATGGGCCGAGATTTCTATATTTTGAAATGACTTGTGAAAAGAATACACATATTACAGACAAAAACCCTAATGTTTTGCTGCCAATGATCACTTTCGAACATAAAAAATATTATACTAGAAAACATATCCTTAAATCTTTCACTAAGGAGCATCAAAAGTATGTGGAACTCAGCTTGATCAGAGTGGATGTAAAGACAGCTTACTGTAAGATAAGGTCACTTTATTGGTCATATACAATTAGGGATTTGTCTTTTCACATACCCCAACTTGCTCTCCATGAGACACACAGACAGGGAGAGAGAAGCCTGGGGTCAGAGCGCAGGGTCAGCCATTTATACGGCGCCCCTGGAGCAGTTGGGGTTAAAGGCCTTGCTCAGGGGCCCAACAGAGTAGGATTCCTCTGCCAGCTATGGGATACGAACCGGCAACCTTCCAGCCACAGAGCCACCGGCCCTGTACTGTATATGTAAACAATACTATTTTATAAGGAAGCTACATAGTCTAATGGGAAAGATGAAATTTATGCTCCTAGGAGGCTCCTGTTTAAAAAACAAATTTCCTAGTCCATGTTCCCTCTCCTTTAGATAAGATATGAAACTAAGATAATGGTGTAAATTACTCCACAACAGCAGTGAATGCTGCATAGATCACCCACACATCCTTACAAACAGCTTTGGATAAAAGAATAAACAAAAAATATTATTTTCTTTTCTATTCAGAGAAATAATGTCAGTCTTTTACAGAAGGTCTCTATATTTCCTATGGAACAGAGGTTTAACCCTTACCATTTCCTATTTTCTATTTTTAGAAACTGACATTTATTTTGATAAACAACAAAAGAAAATTGAAGTGGAGTTATGAAACAGAAAAGGCTGAGTTTTTTTAGATTATGACACAAGTACTTCTGAATCAAGTCCTCTGACTGGTTTAGTTTTAGACATGGTACACAACAGGGCTACAGTAATGCTTCAAACTGGTTTCTTACCCAAATTGACAGGTGAAATATGAAATATGATAATGTAGTGGTCTGTAGGAAGCCTCTTTAGGCCTTGCTAGCCAAGATGCTTGTTATTCCTTGTATTGGGAATTATAAAAAAATGCATCTCTCTCATTCACTCTATAAGTAAACTTGGCAAAAACTAAAATACAAACCACTAATGAGCAGCCAGTTTTAACTGACGTACAGGTAGTAACAAAGTTAAGCTGGTGAAATTCTTCACTTAATGTACCTCAACTGCACCCTGCCGCATACTGGATGAAGCAAGGCTGAAATTAATAATTTTCAATGACAAGAAACATTTGTCTCTCAAGCATTACAATAGCAAGACCTTGAAAATGAAAATAACCTAAAGCTTTCTATAGAAATGTCCCAATAGCTAGAGATTTGACATATTTCTATAATGTATATCAGCTATAGGTTATTTTGATAAGGGGGAACATCCATTTTTTCAATATATAAATCTTCTCAGTGTTATGTGGCATAGAGGTATAGTCAATGCCCACATCTTAAGCAACACATTTCTACCAGTAGATCTTATGACAGAGATGTTGTGTTTACCACAATGAGAATATCATAAATGTTTAAACCTGTTATCAAACCATTTTCATTGATATCTAGAAAGGTCAGAGCCAAGATGTTTGGATCCTTCAGGCTCAATTTGTGAAGTGACATCTCAGCTAGTCACACCAGAGCTGTGGATGTCATTCATTTTCTGAATGGAATCGCTTACAGGCTCTTAAGGGTAAGCCAAGACTTACCTTTGATATTTGAATCTTGTTCTACACTTAACACCAAGTACAGGGACTAAGCTATGTTGTAGTATCTCAAAGAGGAAGCTACACCCTGAACACACCAAGAAAGAAAACAGAAATAAAGTATTGCAATGATGTGCAAATAGCAGGCTTTTTCTCTTCTCCAAATGATATGTCTGGCTCATCGGGATTTCGTTACTTTACAGCAGAGAACAATGTAAAGACGCATCAAATTTCCATTTTAGTGGGCAGTAGTAGTGTACACTCAAAATGATGTCTTTCCTTGGGTTACATAAGACTAAATTTTAAATAAATTCAACTTTACATGAAAACATCCCATGGACCCCATAGGACCATTTCTGAGTTATACTACATAATTAAAGAGCAAACAGTGCAGTACATTCCTTCTGCAGATGAATAGTGTGGAGCAAAAAAAATACGGTCTACACCAGGGCTCTGTTTTACACTTCAGCCTTACTCTGTTGTAATGCACACGTGCTAATCTCTGCGTATCATTTTGTACTTTTTCACTGGAAATTGTAAAACATTGTAATCATAACAGGGAAGCACCCAAGTGATTTAATTATTTGGTGTTTTAATAACTGAACAGTCTCTCCAATGTTTAATTTACTGTAATGTATGCTATATTTAGTGTTTAATTATTCTAATTATACGGATTTAAAACTTTCTTTCATTCGTTGTTGTTTCACTTCTCTCCATTTATATAATCGGGGGATGTTTTTTTCTCTCTCTCCCTCATCAACTGCTAGCTGCTGCTGCATTCTCTCCCTGAGTCTCTACCCCCCTCTGTGATCGGCGCACACACACCTGTTGACCATTATTGGACAATATACCCTGGTGAGACTGTCTCTCCTTTCTCACTCGTTGCCACTGGTGCTGAAATTACGGGAGGATCTTTGCAATATCATAAGTGGTAATTACTGTATACAGTAGGTATGCATCACAGTGGCTAAGAAAGGGTTTGTTTTGACTTACGTAAAATTCATGGTACGGAAAAACATGCACAACCTGGGTTGTTGTAATTTGAGGAAACACTGTAAATGGTATCTGAAGCTTTGGTTGGATTTAATATAACAATAAATATACAGGTTAGGTAGTTATTTTTAAAATCTCAGATGGAAAAATACAGGTGTCGAGAAAATTAGTATGACTGACAACAAATGTCCTCCATAATTTCCTTTAGAAAACAGAGAAAGTTTAAAGACAGCTAAAGTGAGTTGGCCCCAAAACATAAATGCAATAAGGTACAGCTCACTGCTAACTGATTTTATTAAATTCTTGCGACTAAACTAAATCGAGAACATTCAGACAACACAATCATAAAAGCTGGAGTGTACATATGTAAACGATTAACAACCTAGTAAATATGATATATTAAAACTTTATATATAAAGTATGTTGTTATTATGCCTGTTTCAGGAAACATGATCTGGACCCAGTTCTGTAGTCCGGCTTCTGGCAAAAATAAATGGATAAGGCATTTGCGGGCTCAATTTTTTTTAGATAGAGATTCAGTTCTTAAACAGCCTTTAAGGCTGTTAATGACTTGATGATTCAGCCACTCCAGAATTTGATATAATCAATCATAGCATGCTGCTGGACAACACAAACCATCATCATAGGGATAACAGGAACTTCACTTCATTTAAATGTTTCTATTAAGCTACCAGGGCTCAGTTCTAAAATCTTTATGGCTTTAAATTTGACCACTTACTCAGGGTGTTCTCCATGGTTCTGCACTGGCATCTTTGCTGTTTATATTTTTCATAACGCCACCTGGTCAGATTATTAACCACTGAGGACTAGGAATTCATTTCTATGCTGATGACACTTTTAGTTTCTGTACTTTCTGCAGTTTTTAGGTCTGTGCAAGATATGGATGCAAGAGAACATTGTTATGATAAACCATGGCAAAAATCAAGTTTTTCACTAGAAACAACAATGTTAGTTTTGATCCTCTGCTGCCATTTGAAGCATACATAATGAGTTCTCCTGTTCACGTATTAGACACTGAATGATCTAGCTCCAGGTTATCATAAAGCCATATTGTCCCATATACAGTACATCTAAGAGCTTTCTGTATAGTCAAATTCTTAATCTGAGATTTGATTATTTTGGGAATCTTTTACTGCTGGAGATCAGGATTTAAAGATGGGTATCAGTTTTTTCATTCAGTACCACAGCTGTGGAATACATCACAAAATAGTACTGCCTATATTTTGCCAAAACAGCTTAAATTTACAGTTATTCAATCAAATAGAAATTTTACTGAAAAAACAAGAGTGATGTTCCTCACTCAAGGATACATTAGTTATGTCCCCATCTGGGATTTGAACCACACATGTCCAGTCCACAGCACTAGCCATTACTGTACTTTGCTACACTTTTTTTGTGTAT